TCTTAGGATTATCGGTCTTGGGGCTTGGGGTTTCCGGTATCCGTGGATCAGTGAAGGTAACGCGGTAACTTACCACCCTTAGGCCCCATAGGCCCTAAATCGCATGATCTAGCAGTCTGAAACATAGCACCACGCAGCCTCCAACTCCTGGGTACTCTTTCTGCTGGGACTTCTAGAATGTTTGGGCCGACGACCTTGTTATAAGTAGGATCTTGGCGCCGTGTCATGTTTAGAGTCGTGGGCATCCTGCAGCAACCTTCCCTAAACTCCATCTTCAAGCCTTACACCCTATAGACCCTAAACCTTACTCCTTATACCCTCAACCCCACTGTCTGAGGCAATGTGTAGACTTGCGGGCCAACAGCAGTCCCCGACCCGCACAGGGATCCCAGCAGTCAGATTGTCCGATCAAGGCTGTAAAGAAAGTAAATGGCGAGCCAGAGTTTGGGGTTTTGTGCTTCGGGTCTATGCTTTCAGGGTTGAGGGTTGGCGGGTTTAGGGTTTAGGATTTCAGGACTTTAGGGTTTGAGGGTTTAGGGTTTGAGGGTTTGGGGTTTAAGTTTTGAGGATTTAGGGTGTAAGTTTTGAGCTTGGAGCGGTGACAGTTCTTACCTTTGGTTAGTAGGGAATGGAAGAGTGGTACGGTTGATGATATAAATCCTGCATTACCTTAAGGACCTTGAACTATGGGAATAATGGTATATTCCTTATTATGGGTAACGCAATGTAACGCAGGATCTATATCATGAACCGTAGTAATAGTAGTTATGGTAAGAGTCACAGACGCCTCTGATTGTTGGAGCCAGTGGGTCGGCGACGAGATTGCCTGTGGCAGCCAGAGGGGATGCGCCTCTTTCAATGGCCTTCTTGGAGGTTCGTGGGTAGTCACAAGGGTTCCTTTAAGGGCCCCTTTAAAGGTTCTATAAGGGTGTAGGGCTTAGGGTCTACTTGGAGGTTCATGGGTAGTTATAAGTAGGGTAAGTATAAGTACAAGCCATATCAGGGGACTCATATTGCCACTTGTAACTACCTGTGAACCTCCACGTAACGGCAGGTTGAGGGTTAAGGGCGTAGGGACAAAGCACTTCGCCCCTCTCTTTGCAAGTCCTAACAGCAGGGTTTAGGGCTAAGTTAAGGCTTTAGGAGCATTGCAGCCCACGAACCATAAAGACTCCAAACCCAGACCCTACTTTTCTCTATTCCTGGAAAGGGTATCCTTTTGGCGGGTCTTTCTTGACCCGACGATAGAAGCGCATCCTCATAGGACGCAGGCACAGGTGCACGACGTGACTCGCTTAATTCGTGTCTCGGCTCCTGACCCACAGTAGTGATCAGTGGCTCAGGAGTTTATGGTGCAGCCCCTGTTCAATGGATGGGGGTCATTTTAGGAAGCCGGCAAGAGAATCCAAGCGCCCCTTCACTCTTTGGGTTTCTTGCTAGAAGTCTTTGCGTGAAGGCTGACCGTAAGGTGGATCTGGGTTTTAGGCTTCCCGAAGCGAGCACGTGGCGTTTCCTTTAGAGTAGAGGGAGGCTGATCTCAATATTTTCATGTCATGAGATCAGGCGTTTATGGGTTTCGGGTTTAGGGGCAGTCTAAGTAGGGTGGTTGTCAAAATTAGGGCCCCTTTTTGGGTGCCCTAAATCTTAGGCGCCGTATTATAACAAGGACCCCCCTAAACGGGACCCTACTAATATTGACAACCACCCAGTAGGCAAGTTAAGGGGCTTCATCAAGATAAGGGTCTTCAGAGTCGGTCCCTAAACCCTAAACCCTAATCCCGAAACCCTAAACCCTAAACCCTAAAGTGTAGTGTATGCCCGAGACGGGTGGGCTCAAGTCCCATTCTGCTTGCCTGCGGAGTGCCAAAGGGTCATTGCACTTAAAAAGAATCCCTAATGTGCAGGGTACATGACCTTTTGGAGCCAGCAGCCCCGAGCTCCATGTTGCCATGATAGGGTACTTGTGGGACTATAGTTGCATGTTGGGGGGGTAGACTTGGGCCCTAAACCCCTAACCCCTAAACCCTAAACTTGGAGTCACTATGGGCTAGGGATTCCCCAAACCCTAAACCCCCAAACCCTAAACCCTAAACTTGGAGTCACCCTGAACCCTAAACCCTAAACTTGGAGTCACTGTAGGCTAGGGATTCCCCAAACCCTAAACCCCCAAACCCTAAACCCTAAGCTTGGAGTCGCTATAGGCTAGGGTTTTCCCAAACCCTAAACCCCGAACTCTGGATCTCCTTGCCGCCGCATCCTGAACATTTCGACTACTGGAGCTCTGGGGCTAAAAACAGGTATACGAACCCTTTAAAGGAACCCTTATAGTACCCTTGTATTAACCGTTTAAAGGAACCCTAAGGTAGCCCTAATGTGCTAAAAACAGGTGAGGGATGGGAAGAAGCATGCCGCATCCCGTTGGGTGCATTATTGGTGTCTAGGGTGTAGGGTTTTATTGCGTGCTGTCGGAATGGAACGGTACTATAGGAAACCCTAAACCCCTAAGCCCCTAAACCCTGCAGTTCCCCTGAAGAGCTCCGAGAATTTTGGCAACTGCTTCTGCTGTGCCTCTGAATGATTGAGAGCCGAAGAGCCTCTCGGTCGGAGGACAAGACCAAAAATTGTACTCTAGAGTAACTCTCGTGCATCCAGCACAAGAAGGAAAAAGAGATGCGCAGACCCAAATCCCAAAAACCCTAAACCCTAAGCCCCTAACAGTCCTAACACCCTAAACCCTAAACCCTAAAGTAAGCCCCTAACAGTTCTAACACCCTAAACCCTGAGGACCCTGAACCCTAAAGCCGATACCCCTAAGCCCAAAGCCCCCCATTAGATGGGCTGGCATGAAGTTCTGAAAGCGTCAGACGACGGTGAACTAAGTATGGGTTTATCATTGCGGAAGTTCAACTCAGACTTGTCTCGTATCGTGGATGTGAGCCACGTGTCAATATAGGGGTAATAAGGCTGTATTTTCAATCTCGCACCCCTGAGTTCCAAAATGTGCACAGACTAAACACCACAGCCCCGAAACCATCCGACCCGGCAGGATATTGGAGTCCAGTCGCACGAGAACTTGGTCTCGCTAGAGGTACTTTCCGTGGACGCGGCCGCTCGGTGCAGCCCCGGACTTGAGGGTTTTGTTTTGTTTTCGCAGATTTTGGATCTCCTCTGCCGAAGCCTTAATCCGTAAATCCTAATCCATAGACCCGTAAACCCGAAGTGTTAAAACCAAACCCTAAATTGTAGAATCCTAAACCCCGAAATTTCCATGGCGCTTGCGATCGTAGGTTGACAGAGACTTCAAGACTTGAGTTTAGGGGTAGATTTCGGGATGAGGAGTGGATGTTTGGCTTGAGATTCAATAGCTGAGCTTTGAGTTAGGGTTGTGCATTTGGTGTTTACACATGAGATGCTTCCCGGCGCAGCCTCGTATGCATTGCTTGTGGGCGTTTGCTTCAGGGTGGTTGCTTCCCTTCTACTTGGGTGGTTGTCAAAATTTGGGTATTTTTTGGGGTCCCCGTTATAATACGGCACCTAATATTTAGGGTGCCCAAAAAGGGAGCATACTTTTGGCAACCACCCACTTGCAAGGCATATGCATGCATTGCTTGTGAGCCTAAAACACACAGCCTGAATCCCGCAGCACGAAGCCTGAGCCCCTGCCCCCTCAGCTTCTAGCTCCAAGCCCTTATTAGGCTATTTGGCCTTAATCCGGTTTCCAACTTATGGGGTTTACTGTAATCCTAAACCCTAAACCCTAAATCCTAAACCCGAAAGTGTAGCGCTAATGAGCCCAAACAAGTCTGAAGCCTGGCCCGGAGCCCTGCCTCAGGAGGATCCGCGGGGGGGTTCAGCAAGAAGGGTTGTGATAAGGGCCAATAACTGGTAGCAGTAGCAGTGGCAGGAGTAGTAGTAGTAGTCGTCGTCGTCGTAGTAGTAGTAGTGGTATGGCTCAATCCATAAACATATGTATCCGTTTTGTGTAAGTAAGTAAGTAAGATTGTCTGTGTGTGCAGCTGGGTAAAGTTATAAAGATGTTTCTTATATGCACTAACTGTATCTACCTGCTTCCGTATTCATCTATGTCTCTATGCACAGCAGACATAGACAGACAGACAGCTAGCCATACAGATAGACGGACAGACAGACAGACCGTCATCTACAACTGAACTGACCAGTGTGCTCCTGACTTAGCTCTCACAGTCCTTGCGGTATAAAATGCTCCACCGTAAACCCTAAACCCTAACCTTGCGTTGCTACCGATCCCTCCGCCCGCTCATCCAGACTGCCTGAAGGCTCAGCCCCAAGCCGCTGGCCGGAAGCTAAACCCCGAAGTCCATTAAAGGAACCCTTAAAGGAACCCTTAAAGGAACCCTTCAAGGAGCCCTTTAAGCAACCCTAATCCTCAGACCTCCTTGAAGTTGGTCGCAGCTCCAAGGTCCACCCACGTAGGTTTACTCCAAGCTTTGCTCTCCGGTTCGGGCGGCGACCAAGAGTGCCTTGGGCAGGGCTGGGGTTTTGGGTGTCGGGCTCCGGGTTCGTAGAAGAGGTGATATGGGAGTTTCCAAAAATAGGGGACCCTAATATAGTACCCTAAATAGTAGGATCCAAGTATAAGGGCCCCGAGATTAGGTACCCCCAATTTTCGGAAACTCCCATATAGGAATGGGGGAGTTGATGCCGAATTTCTTGAAGTTGCCATGGCTATCTGCTTCCAAAGCAACATCTGATACCTTGCAACAGTCCGTCCATCCAGAACCCACTCAGCAAAAACGACTCACGACGACGAGTACGAGTTCATCGACACGTCACCCCTAAACCCTAGACCATACCAGCCCGAGATGCTCCAGCCATGTGTCTTCGTTTGTGTGCGGCTCCCAAACCCTAAACCCTAAAGCCTAAAACCCTAAACCCTAAACCCTATAACCTTAAACCCCTAAACCCTAAACCCCTAAACCCCTAAACCCTAAACCCCTAAAGCGCTAAACCCCAAAGGAACCATGGCAAATCTTCAAAGTGAGCCATGGGGCTTCCCCGGCGTGCCAGCCAGTGAAGACCAGCAACAAGAGACCTGCCAGGTGCAGAGATTAATGTAGGTAAATCATTATGATGATGATAATGATGATGATTATTAATTATTCTCATTTTCAAAAACTTTTGGTTGGTGGAGTAATATTTGGTATTTGTAATTTAGGTCCTATCGACTACTCATAGAATCCCTTCTAAAACCCTTAAAGGGAGCCCTTGAAGGGGCCCTTACAGAAAGCCCTAAACCCTGAAGAGGTGTACAACGATCTGCAAGCGGCTGTGGAGGTGAGCTCGGGCTCCGTCTCCGCCGACTCGCCCGTTCTCTACCCGGGCTCCGGATGTAGCTTGGCACTTTCGTGCCGAGACATGAAGGTTTCAGTGTGGCTGCGTGACGATCCTGGAGTTTGTGGGAGCTGTGCTGTCACTGCTAGTCGAAGCTTGACGTTGTCCCAGGATTTCGGCGACTTCTCTCGTGAAGCTGCGGAACTGATCCGAAAGGACATGCGAGCAGCACGAAAGGAAGCCGGTTTGCGACAGGCACGAAAGAAGGAGATTTGCCAGCAGCTGTATGAGGAAGTGAAACGCGCAGCGGTCAGGAAGCAACGAAGAATGATCATCTGTACATCCATCACCATTTTGGCTCTTCTGGGCCTTGTCATCTTCGGGGCTATAGCTATCGCGAATAAGCTGCAGCCGCTCATCTTCGAGGGCGAGAGCCAGAGCCACGAGGCTGCCGGCGTCGCCGCTCTGGCCGTGATTCTGTGGTGCATTGCCATGGGCTGCGTGGGTGTGCTGAGGTGGGTAGCATGATGAGGGAGACCCCTTCAAGGGGAGGTCTATATCCCCGAGGGTCCCCCTAATCCTAACTCCCATAAGGGCCAGCGCGGACGATGCCACCGCCGCGCAGCTGCAGACCTCTCTGCGAGCGGCGCGCCCTGAGCTGCAGGGCTACGAGGAGGACGGCACCTTGCGCGGGATCGCCCTCCGAGACGAGCCCGACGTTGATTCCGAGAACGAGGACATTCGATATTCGCTTTTTGTCATTTGCTACTGGGGAATGCCGATCGCGGGCGTAATCTGCGGAATTATGATTGCTGCGCGGCTCTACGAAGATGGCCACTTCTGGGGCGTCCTTATCGTTTCGATCCCGGCCATCGCTGCGGCCTGCTTTGGTGGCGGCTGGATGTGCCTGTATACACTGAGACAAGATGACTCTTATTGGCTGTAACCTCAACTTTTCAACTTTTGGGGTTCTTATAAGGTAGTCGATTCTGAAAGTTTCAACTTTTATGAACTTTGGGGGTTCTTATAAAGTGGTCGATTCTGAAAGTTTCAACTTTTATTTCCTTCAGTTTTGGGCCAGTGAGGATCTTCCTACCCAGATTGCAGCCCGAAACCACAACCAAACCTTCAAACCCGCACCAAGACCCATGACCAGCGCACCAAAACGACCCCAACTCTCACCAAGAAGTTGCTGCAGTCACCAAGCTTCCAAACCACAGACTTGGCAAGAACAAGCGGAATACTCGCAGCTGCACAGCGACACAACGGTCGAATCCTTGACAACTCAGCTCCTTCTCAGGATGGTGTCGTGGTGTACCAAGACTCACCGCTAGTGTCCGCAGTGCGGCATGGGCAAGTCTTGGTCATTCACGAAGCAAACCAGGCTCCTCTAGAAGCCATTGCAGGCCGAAAAGTGTTCGGATGGAAACCCCCAGCAACTGTTTCTTAGCTTGGTACAGCAGCAGAAACATGAAGTCCTAGCCGATGTCCAGCCATGTCCTCAGCTGCAGACGAGCCGTCGGCCAAGGAGACGCAGACGTTACCACGTACCCATGCTGCACATTTGTTGAAACGTTTTGAACCTACTTGCTTTGCATGGTCTTGGCAGGAGCTTCGACAATGGCGGCGACGCAATGCGCTCTTGCATCCTGAGGCATGGCTTCCAGGTTTGTTTCTTCTGAAAGCCACCGCGCCGACATGTCCTTGCATATTCCAGATCTTGACCTTGACACTTGTGCTCCACATGTTGACTTCGGTCAGGGAGAGGAGGCCACTGAGAAGCTTTTGCGGCAGGCCAGCACTCGGACTGAGGCAACAGACTTCCACCTTTTCGGGTTTAGGCTTTGCTTGCCACCAAACATGTCCTGTGAGGGCTTGGGACAAAGCACGAAGCTGGCTGGACATGCGCGCGCTGCAGCTGGGCCGGATCGAAGCGCCAGAGTCTCTGCGCCGCTGGGCTTTCTGATCCGAAAGCACGAATGTAGCGAAAGCTTGACGCTTGCAACTTCCAAAACTGCAAGACGCACATCCAGGTACCGGGCGCCACGTTGCAGCACCGTTTCGCCATTGGCGAAGTAGGTGAGATCGTATCAGATTCAAAAAACCGCGGCTCAGATCAGACAGTCCAGGTCACAGCAAGTCAGGTCAGGTCAGGTCTGTTCAGGTCTGCTCAGGTCAGCTCAGGTCAGGTCAGTGCAGGTCAGATCAGATTCTTGTTGTGCGTGCTCTTCCGAGGTGACCGGGAATGGAAGTTCCGGAGGACAAATTCATTGACGTTTGTGTTTGCTCCTGTATCCACATCCGGTCCAAGGTTCGTAGCCTTTGGTCGATAAAGCACAGTCGGTCGAGAACGTCGGCAGTGTAGATTCCAGAGATACTTGACACCTCTGTTCGCGAGTGGAATCGTTCATGGCAAGGACCGCCGGACATGCAATGCTCTCCGGGCCGAGCGAGCAAAAAAAGTTGGCGCACTTGCATTTTTGGTGCAGCCGCCGTCGGCTAGGTGCGTGTTCTGCTCGTTTGGTGCGTGTTTCGGTTGTTTTGGTGAGCGTTAATTTTTGCAACCTTCCTACCCATAGGCCCCATGGTAGTTCCTTTTTGGGATTACCTTCAACTTTTATTCCCCTGGGGTTTTGGGCCACTGAGGACTTGGCCTGGAGGCTGTGCCAGGCCTCTCTGGTTTTCTTCCAATGGCCGCTGATACTCCTGAATGCTGTTGCGAAGCTAGGTTGGAGTTTGCGATGTTTTTATTTTCTTTATTTGGGTTTATAAGGGACCCTATATATATATATATATATATATATATTAATGTTTTTTATTTTCTGTATTTGGGTTTATAAGGGGCCCTATATATAAGTATTTTTCAGGGTGTCTAAAGGCCAACCCAGGAAGTGCCGGGGTGGATCTGACTCTGCCAAGGCCGTCTCTGCCCTGATTCAGCCTGCGAAGGAGGACTTGAACCAAGCGGTGTTGCAAACGAACCAGAGGACCATTCCGTATAATAATTGTAGTATACTGGGCCCCGAAACCCTATTCGAACTATCAAGGCCCTATATTCTAGTACCCTCATGGATCCCTTATAGTAGCCTTTTAAAGTACCATCATAGATCCCTTATAGTAGCCTTTACAGGACCATCGTCTTTGAGGGGAACGTCCTCCCGGGCCATCACACCGTGGCTTCCTGGCCGGGGAAGCACCTTAGATCCTGAACCGGGGAACTTCAAAACTTTTTGGCCTTACATATTAGCTCTTTTTTAGAAAGTTTGGATTTTTTGGCCTTGTATATTAGCTCTAGTTTAGAAAGTTTGGACATTTTGGACTTATATACATTAGCTCTAGTTCAGAAACTTGAGACTTTTTTGCCTTATATACATTAGCCCTGGTTTAGAAAGTTTGAACTTTTTTGGGGCCCGGTTGTTGAAGAAGAGAGGTACGAATCCGCCTGGGACTTGCTGGTTGCCGGAGCCCGGAAGGACGAGATCAGCGCTGCCGTGGCTTATCCTAGTTTAGGGTAGGGTTTAGGGGTTTAGGGTAGGGTTAGGGGTTTAGGGTTTGGGGGGTTTTGGGGGTTATGGTTTAGGGGTTTAGGTGTTAGGGAGACCCCTTAAAGGGGACCCTTCTGAGCCCTACTTCTGGCTTTCTTAACAGGGACCTTATTGAGAGGGTCTATATCTCCAAGGGTCCCCCTAATCCTAACTTCTAGCTTAGTAGCTGAGTGGATACACTTTACACTACTTGGGACAATATTACCCACTATCAAACCAAAAGTGTAAACTTTTTGGGGGGCCTATGAACTCAGCAACTAAGGTGGTGTTCCTGCCCGAAGGTTCAGAGCACTTTGGGCTGCACGATCCCATTCCCAGGACAGAGGACCTCCGCGACTTAAGAGGTGAATGTTGGTGCGTGCCCCTCTACGGCGAAGCGAAACCCTGGGGCTGCCGATGGTGGTCTCACTGGATCGCCAACATAGAGAAGGCGGTCCAGCTGGGGGCCACTCTCGAGGTCTACTTCTTCAATGGGAAGAAAGGCCAAGGGAAAGCAGCGGACTTCGCAGCAGCCGGCACAGAGCATCGGCGAAGGGACTCGATCTTCCGCCGGAAAGCAGACTTTGGGAAGTCAGAGGGTTTCCTCAGAGCCCTGGATGATGGGCTGGACCAGCTCTCTAAGGAGAGAGGTCCAGATGGCTCATCACCTTTTTCGCGGGAGGAGCACCGGCTCTTCTTGGCCTGGCTGCAGGAGGAGGAACGCAAGTTTCTTGAGCATTCGGAGGGCTTGGGAAATTCACAAAAGGCGGAGGTTGCCTGGCTGGAACGGAAAGGCTATCATTACCTTGAAAAAGAAGTCAGCGAACTTGCCGATTCGTCGCCGAAGGCGATGGGTTGAGAAGCTGTTCGAGGCCGCCGGGGCAGGCGCTGTGACACTTGACGTGTTCTGCTTGAAGGATCATGGGACTTAGTAACCACGGTAAAAATTACGGTAGCTATACCTATAATTACTCATACCCCTATTAATTAAGGTACTTATAACCTAACTTACTAGCCTTCTTCGCGACGTCAACCCATTCACCTTCCTCTAGGGCTTGCAATCCGCGAGCCCATGCGGACGACGTGCATCAGACTTTCCGATGCAAAGAGATCCGACATGTGTTGTACTGTGGATCTATCGGAGATCCGACAAGCGCTGATTGAGTAAATGTGAGTTTCCCGTATCGGTATGTATACATATATATATATATATATATATATATATACATATATACATAGTTATATAGTTATATGCATATATATATATATAGAGTCCTACATCCCTTTAATCAAATCAAAAGGGCTTGATTCAGCCCAACAGTGTGGGTGAGAGCCACCTGAGAAAGTGTGGAAGCATGGGTTGCTCCAAGGATCAGCACTTCTGTCCTCAAGGTTTAAGGTTTAGGGTCAGCACTTCTGTCCTCAAGAGTGTTTGGTTCTTAGTAGGAAGTGGCGGAATGGATTATGGAAAATAGTATTGGGGATTACATAGGAACTACTATAGGGATCCATTCCCCCATTTTCTACGAAGCACCAGACAGTTGAGTGTAACCGAACCAGGATGCTACCGTCACATAGGCTGCCTCTTCTTGCCTTCGGTTTTTCTCCATCGCTTTGAGGGTTCCAGTTTATCATTGCGGTTGAGGGTTCAGGGTCGCGGGTTTGGGGTTTCGGGCCGCGGGTTTAGATTTTAGGGTTGAGGTTTGGAGCTCGGGGTTGGCTTTGAAATAAGTGCGGAAGGCTGCCGCCCGAAGTTTCGGCTCAGGATGACCGCATGCGCGGGGGAGACTGTCTTCAGTTTTTTGCAAAGGAAGGACCACTGCGAAGATACTTCTTTAGTTGGACGCTAGCCCTCACACTATCATATACTGTCATATGCTGTCATATACTATCATTTAACATATTCTCGCAAGCGAGAATATATACTAAATCTTTCATAGACTGTGACTGTCATACACTGTCATGTGAGCATTTGAGCTTGATCGTCGGTCTCATGTCCTGCTCCCTTGAAAGAAGTCTCCGTTTAGGGGTCATGGCAGGGTGTATACGATTTAGGGTTTGGGGTTTAGGGTTTAGGGTTTAGGGCTATAGGGTCTGGGTGTAGGGTGCACTTTAGGGTTTAGGGTGTGGGGCTTTGGGTTTCTAAGTGCATGCCAGGGGCATTTGATGCTGTGGCAAAGCTTCCTGCGGTCGTGTCACTGGCAGACGTGCGACGAGCCTTGCAAGACGAGCTCACTGACTTCGTGGAGACCTGCCTAAAGCGCTAAGAATCGAAGCCCCAAGATTTAAACCCTAAACCCCAAAACGCTAAACCCTAGACCATAAAAGCCCTAAGCGCTAAACCGTAAAACCCTAGACTCTAAACCCTAAACTCAAAGGCCTTCAATTCAGTTCACATCTCGAAACCCTAAACGGCCGCAAACCCGAAGGCCGTAGACTTTGGACCTCAAAAATGAAACGAAAACTTAACCCTTCAATTCGCCGGGCTCTTCGGGTTTAGGGTTTAGGGTTAGGGGTTCATGTTTTTGGGTTTAGGGTTTAGGGTTTCCGCTTCTTCATCATCGACGCCCTGGTTACCGTTAATGTGCTCTGTGTCGTCATCGTCAAGTATCACCAGCATCATCGTCGTCATCATCATCACCGCCACCACCACCAAAGTCAGGTTCCCCAAACCCCGAAACACCATGAAAGAAAGCATAGCCCCACTCCAGCACCCCTGCCACCCTCTCCACGAAAGATCACCTAAAGAGACAAGACCAGACCACCACCACCCTGTCGAAAAAGACAATCGAAGCGATGTGCTTGCATACATGTTCGTATATGCATCCATCCGTGCTTAGATACTTACTGACTTCCGTACCTACTCACCTTCTTACGTAGTAACTGTGAACTTACTTTCTTACACACGTACATGCCTGCATCGATGGATAGGTAGGCGGATAGACAGGTAGGCAGATCGCTACATAGACAGACAGAGACAGGCAGGCAGGCTGGCAGACAGACAGACACACACTAAACCCTAAACCCTAAATAGCTTGGTCAAAAAGTGGCAAAAAGCATAGAAGCTGACTCGAGGAAGAGCCGAAACTCGCCACCAGCCTTCTTCAGAACCTTGGCCGACGAGGCGGTGACTCTGTGTTGGGAGGGCTAGGGGGGCCTACGGCTCCGGGTTTAGGGCTTAGGGTGTGTAACAGTATGCGCGCGGTGGGTGCGCCTTTTGCTTTAGGAATCAGGGGCGTACCCACTAATCGCGCGCTTGCGTCAGCATGTAGTCCCGCCCCAACCACCCCAACTATTCTCAATTAGGGTTTAGGGTTCACCCCCCAAACCCCCCTCAAGGGGGGGCTTTCTTGCTCTCTGCTTGCTTTCGCAGCTCGACATGTAAACAACAATATTATTACTCCAGAAATCGCAGCTGAAATGGATTGCTGTCGGGTTGTGGGTCCTCGCGGACGAAAAGCAAGGGTTTCCAACAAACAACTTGGTTCTCGCGGCCTGTAATGGCTGCTCGAAGTGTGAACAAGGGGCAAGGGCAGAGGGCAGGGCAGGGCAGGGCAGGGCAGGGCAGGGCAGGGCAGGGCAGGGAGGGCAGGGCAGGGCAGGGGGCAGGGCAGGGCAGGGCAGGGCAGGGCAGGGCAGGGCAGGGCAGGGCAGGGCAGGGCAGGGCAGGGCAGGGCAGGGCAGGGCAGGGCAGGGCAGGGAGCGCAGGGCAGGGCAGGGCAGGGCAGGGCAGGGCAGGGCAGGGCAGGGCAGGGCAGGGCAGGGCAGGGCACCGGCATAGTTCACGAAGTGCACAGAACTGAGGACGGAGGCATCCCTGGAGACTGCAGCCAGACTTTGTTGCTTGGGGCTTCAGGGTTTTGGGATTTTGGAATGTATAGGGCATATAAAGATTATAGGAAGATTTTGGCGTGCGTCCTCAGTGCCAAATTATTAAGTGCTCGCGTTCAGGGGCAGGGCAGGGCAGGGCAGGGCAGGAAGGGCCCAAAATCGCAGTTTTTGTCCAAGCCGATTTGGAGGTCCTGTTTTTGACAGACTAACGTCTGTGTTGTGTGAGCGTAGCCGAGTCATTTCCGTCCCTGTATACCGGGAAGCTTTACTCTCCCTCACCGTCTTGTCGAGACGCTCGGCCGGGGGCCTCGGTCGGAGCCTCGAGCGCCCATGCAAATGGTCAGCGGCGCTCTTGGCAGTTTGGGCTTTAGGGCTTTAGGGTTTAGGGTTGTGGGTTTAGGGCTTTAGGGCTTTAGGGTTTAGTGGTTTAGGGTTTACGATTAGCTGGGCTAAGAAATCACTAGGCCAGCAGTGTAGTAGCAAAAAACCCACCCGCCCAAAGAATCCCAAAACATTAGAACAATATACAATTTCTTCCTAAACCTTAAAGGCCGACCAACTATGCCTCAAAACCCTAGTCGCCATTACTATACTCTTTTTCTCGTTGCGCAAGCCACATCCCAACAACAAGCCCCCGAGGGACCCAAACCACTAATTTGGCAGTGTTCAGGCCGGACACACTGCCAAATTAGTGGTTTGGGTCCCTGCGGGGTGGTCCGAGGGACCCAAACCACTAATTTGGCAGTGTTCAGGCCAGACACACTGCCAAATTAGTGGTTTGGGTCCCTGCGGGGTGGTCCGAGGGACCCAAACCACTAATTTGGCAGTGTTCAGGCCGGACACACTGCCAAATTAGTGGTTTGGGTCCCTGCGGGGTGGTCCGAGGGACCCAAACCACTAATTTGGCAGTGTTCAGGCCGGAAAGCACTGCCAAATTAGTGGTTTGTGTCCCTGCGGGGTGGTCCGAGGGACCCAAACCACTAATTTGGCAGTGTTCAGGCCGGACACACTGCCAAATTAGTGGTTTGTGTCCCTGCGGGGTGGTCCGAGGGACCCAAACCACTAATTTGGCAGTGTTCAGGCCGGAAAGCACTGCCAAATTAGTGGTTTGGGTCCCTGCGGGGTGGTCGCCCAGGCCCCCGAGGGACCCAAACCACTAAGGCCATTAACCTTTAAATATACATATGAAAGAGAGGTTTAGGGTTTAGTGGTTCAGGGTTTAGGGTTTAGTGGTTTAGGGTTTAGGGTTTAGGGTATAGGTGGCTTTGCGTTTAACTTCTAGGTTCTACTTACTGGGTCGAGCACTGGCTGGGTTTCATGATGATGTCCAGTTTTGAATTGTTGTGTACTTGTAGGGTTACCGGCTGTGATATGGGGTTTCTGGTCCTGCTTGGTCCCGCCGTTGGGTATTGAGATACATGAACCCTCAACCCTGCCATGAAACCAGACTGAGTTTATAGGGTTTCCAAAATGAAATCGCAGCTCAAAGAAAAATGTCTGCTCCTGATCCGGAAAGACCACGGCGCGGTTGACTGTTCACTAGAACCAATAGTGGCAGCACAGACGCAAGACTGGCTGCAAGGAACGAACCCATACCCCCAATCCAAAAGTCTTCAATTCGATCCCCTGATACGCCTTAAACTCCATGAGTCGAAACCTTAAACCTAAACACTGTACTTCTAAAACCCAGGACCCTGCACTGCCAAAGCCGGTACTGGCAACGCCAAGCCCGAATCCGTCAAGAACTGCGGCCAAGATAAGTATCAAAGGGGAAAAGGAGGGACCCTTAATGAGGACCCCTACCCTATAATGGGCTATATAATGGGTATAAACAGCTGTATTAAGGGTATATACCTAGGGGTCCATATTAAGGGCCCTCCTTTTACCCTTGGAAAGTACGTAGCTGATGATGGCAGCAAAAAGCATCATTAGACATGTCTCAAGTAGCTCAGCAGTTGGGAAACTTAGGGTTTAGAGTTTACGGTTGAAGTGAGGGTTTAGGGTTTAGGTTAACCCTTAAACCCTAAGCCGACCTGTTCCTTATCATGGTTTCTATATATAGTTCCTTAAAAAGGTAGGTCGTTTCGGCTACAGGTAAACCTTAAACCCTAAACCTTAAACCTTAAACCTTAAACCCTAAACTCTAAACCCTACTCCTTCTACCCCAACCGCAGCCGACTTGGTGGGTCCCATGGACCCCAGTGTGGACCTAAAGCCTAGAACCCCAGCCCCCAAACCCCACACTTCCATCCCCCGAAGCCGCCCGAAATCGTAAACCGGTTTGGGGTTTAGGGTTTGGGGTTCATGATTTCGGTTTTGGGGTCTAGGGTTTACAGTTAACCGTAAACCTTGTTTTTTTACGAAGAAAGACAACGAACCTTCTCTTTGATCGTAACTCTTCGATCCTCTGGAACCTTTCTGTGCGCAAGTGCAGGCCGTTTGGAAGTTGCGCAGCTCGTGCTGCAGGCAACCGTGGGCTTCACGGCTTCACGGTTTCGGGTTTTGGGAGGGTTTCAGGTTTTTAGGGTTTCAGGGTTTAGGGGAGATGAGGGATCGGGGTTTCGGGTTTGGGGATTGGGGTTTAGGGTTTCGGGGTTGGGGTTCAAGGTTTAGGGTTTTGCGGGTGAGACCGCGGGTTTAGGCTTCGGTTGCATAGGGTGCTCGGGTTTGGGGGTTTCATGGTGTCGGAGTGTAGGGAGTGAGGTACAACCCTATACCCGAAACCCTAAACCCTAAACCCTCAACCCTAAACCCTAAACCCCTAAACCCCTATGCCCGAAACCCTAAATCTACTAAGCCCTCCTGCAACACCCGATCGGGCTTGGTCCGTGTTCCCAGAGACTCCAATGTCCCTTAATTACGGAATATTCCTTAAATCATATTAGGGATCCTACTATAATTTAAGAATATTCCTTAATTGAGTGATATTGGAGTCTCTTGGTTCCGGATTCGGATTACGCGCTCAGTGTGACAAGTGGGGAATCGGTCTGGTAGGAACCTTGGGAAAAGGGTTTTTATGGTTTAGGGAAACCAACATGCAAACAGTAAAAGCATGAACCCAAGCATAGACCCTAAATCGCAGGATCATCCCCAATAGGACCGCCCTCGATTGATCAGGCCCTTCATAGCTCCACACACCCTGAGCCCCTGCAACTTCAGAAGCCCAGCCATTCGATTCTTGAGAAGCAACCGAAGCCAGAAACCCATCCATGCCACAGGTTGAAAGGTTCAGGGTTTAGGGTTTTAGAGTTTAGGGTTTAGGGATTTAGGGTTTAGGGTTTAGGGATTCAGCCCACCTAAACCCCTAACCCCTTACGCGTGAAACCAATTTCAAAAGCCCTCATACTCAGCCGAATGAACCTGGCTCGCAAGACATTGCGCTCAGCGGCTGCCGAGACCAACGTCTTTCACTATGGCGTTGTGCTGGCAGTCCCTTCATTTCGTTTAAAGCAAAAGCCAGAAAGTTGGAATATGATTATCCTAAGCCCTTTATGGTAAATTATAAGGTATCCTACCCTGAAACCATATTCCAACTTTCTGGAGTTCCCTTTAGGGTATAGAGGGTGTAGGGCTGGGGCCTTGCGGGGTCATTTTGTGGGGGTGTAGGGTTTGGAGTATTGTCGTTGACACGCATGATGACAGCAAGGCTATCTGAGAACTAGTGGTGCCACAATGATTCCTGTCTCGTTTGGAAGAGGAGTCTCGGTGTGACGACGGCGGGTACTGATACTCGCGCAGGCAAAACTTTGGTGACGATTTTGACAACGGCGATGATTCCGGCGGTGATGATGCTGGTGGCGATGGTGGTGATGCTAATGGCGCTGGTGATCTTGATGACGGTAGCGTCGGCGGTAAACTCAGTAGTGGGATGAAGCTTGCATCAGCAGCGGTGGTGGTAATGCTGACCACAGTCATGGAAATACGGCCGCTGACAGGGATTTCTTTGGTAATAGTAATTAGGCGCAATAGCAGCAATGATATGACTGAGACCACAACAACACCAAGACCTGCAATGCTGCACTGACTGTCAGTGTCGAGTGTCTCTTCGGCATCAATACTGGCAACAGCTTCAGGGCAAGTTTTCCTTAACCCTGAACCCTAAAACGACCAAGCCGAAGCGGCAAAGCTCGAAATGCTCATGCTTATCTTCACCAGACGTTGAACAATTTTAAGATTCAGGGTATCTCAAAGCGAGGCGGCAATCACGAGAAGATTAGCAAGATCACCAGTCGCAACGCGCAGTTGGTAGAAGGAGAAAAGAAGCAGCAATGCTCCAGTGTTCACACACTGCATACGCAGAAGCATGATTTGAAGGAGAGACGGTGATACGTAATATTAAGCAGGACATAAGCTGCGGCATTCTTAGTTTTGCGGCTTGTATCCGCATTGGAGTACTGGCAATAGTACAGGCAGTCGTGAACGCAGCAGTAAATCTAGTACGAGCAGCGATAGCAGCAATTGCTGCTGCAATAGAAGTGGCCAGAATTGCGGAGGACCATAGTTCTCGTGTCAGACGCGGTGAGCCATGTTGGCCTAAAGCAAAATCATTGTTAGATTACTACTATTATTCTTAGAAGTGTCGTTATTATTACAGTTGCAGTCTTGAAAGTTGCGGGGGACGCACTTGCAGACTGCTTTGCCGGACATACTGCCTTCCTCCCTACCTACCTCCCTGACTCCCTGCCTCTTTCACTCTCTCTCTCGCAGGTAACTGCACTTATCATTACTTATAACCTATTATAACCCCAATTAACTTATACTTATACCCTAACTTACTAAGTCCCCTGATCCTTCCGAGTAGACCCTAAACCCTAAACCCTATAGATCCCTTTACGGAGCCCTTTAAGGAACCTAGTGGGAACTACTTCGGGGCCTTAGGGTAATGTTCTCCATAATCTAACCTAAACCCTAAACCCTAAACCCTATTCCCTGCTAAGAACCAGAGTCCAGGCCTGCTCGAAGGCTGGTGCATGGAAGCTGGCTGTGGCCCTGCTACAGGCGGGCTTATGGGGCTTATAGTGGTTTTTAGGGGTTTCTAGGGCTTCTAGGGTTTATAGGGTTTCGTAGTTCATATAGGGTTTACAGGGGTTAGGGGTTTAGGGTTGCGCCTCAAAGAAACCCAGGGGGGCTCGTATTCTTCTAGGGTTGCCGGGGTTGTGGGTTTTTTGGGGCTTTTTGGACTTTCGGTCGTGCATTAAGGTTTTAGAGTTTGTGGGTTTCGATCAGTTTGGGTTTTAGGCGGAGTTTAGGGTTGGGTTCAGGGTTTAGGGTGAAGGGTTCTAGTGTCTGGGAGTATGGTTTCGGCGAGGTCTTCAAGCCTGTCGTCGATGGCTTCTGAGTTTAGGGTCGTTGGCTGGCGTTTACACCCCTAAACCCTAAACCGTTCATTTCGGTGGAGATCGAAAGGTGTCTGGGCTTGCACGGCTCTCGTGTGATGCTTGCGTGGCTCAAGACCCGACTTATGACAGCAGTTTAAGGCTTAGGGTTCAGGGTTTAGGGTTCGCGGTTTAGGGTGCAAGGAGTGCTGCCCCAACAATGAAGTCTAAATGGAAAGCCGCAGCCACAAAAACGTACCCAAACCCCGAGCCCAAGCCCTAAATTTTTCTCAAAAGGACTTCAGTACCTAACCCTTAAACCCTCAACCCTGAGAGGAATCCGAGAGTCGAACAAAGTGTTGGTGTTTAGGGTTTAGGGTTAGAACCTTTCTACAACCCCTTAACAGGCCCCTAATCCCAAGATGCGTCAGTTCTTGGAGTTGGACGATGGTTATGGCGTATCTTGAGCTCTGCGAGCTGCTCATCTCGACTTGCAGCTGCAGCAGCGCCAGCATCTGCAGGTGAAAATCACGGCGCCCTCGCACTGCAACGTGAAGCTGCTCGGTCTTTTCCCTTCGGTCAGGACAGTTCGTGCACTTGTTGTCAGGGGCAACCCATGTGATGAAGTTCATCATCCGGAACCTGAGATCGCTGGACGGCTGCCTTTTGCGCTGACGGCGCTGCCCCAGCTGAGCCAGTTGCTTCTGTCGGACGAAGATAATGGGTGGCATGGGCAAGAAAGCCCCGACTCGGTGTGGGATGTCATCGTTGATCTTACGAAGAGCCTGGCATGTGCACGCCAAAGCATGCTGCTACAGGGCTTGGAGTGGATCGAGCTTTGCTGCCACTCTTGTCCCCAAAGTGTGCTGAATGGCGACAAGGATCGGGTGCCAGCAGGTTGCAGCTGCCGTGAGATCGCCCAGGGTTTCCCAGTTGCCACTGTGATCGACTTGGTGGCAAAGGGTGACCTGTGTCTGGGTCGACTGGAACTACTGAACATTGCTTTGTCTCGCGGAGTCGATTTAAACAGGCCTTTCCCAGGCAATCCAGACATCACCTTGTTCCACCATGTCCTCACGGAAATGACTCCCCATGATGGCTATCCAGACAAAGAGTTCGGCCGGGATGCTGACAGGATGTGCTGTGCTGTCATCGAGCGAATGGTGCGGGCTGGGCATGCGCGTGCGGACGGGAAGTTGCTGGCAGACATAGCATCCGGAAAGTTTCTGGAGGACCTCTTGGATCCGTGGACGGAGGACTGGTTGCCTGAGGGGTTAAACTACTTTCATGGCTATGCGGCAAGCCTGCGTGCATGGCTCACTTCAGATCAGCAGCAGCCCTTCAGGTGGACATACCCGAGACAAGGGTAACCCGTAAATGCTCGACCCCCAAACAGGGATCCCTTCTTGGAGGGATCTTGCGCAGCCTCGACATTGAAAAGAGGAAGCAAAGGGGTCAGGGTTTGCCGAAGCCGGATCCGAAGATCCAAAAACCCTTTGGGTTTAGGTTTAGGGTTCCTTGAACCCTCAAAGGCCCAGCACCCCAAGCCGCAAAGGAGATTCTACTAGAACAAACCTTTAATTTTTGAGCCGTCTGCACCCGAAGCCCCCCCCCGTGTTTCTTCGGTGAGAAGTAAGCTTTGCGCTTATACCCGACCCCGATGCTTAAACCCGCAACCACCAAACTTTGAAATTATCCGCAATTGCTCCACCGCACACATGCTCAGGCCCAAGGGGCACGCCTCCTGAACTCATTTGGGGGTTTCCGAAATTAGGGGTACATCACTTTGGGGTCCTTATAAAAATGATCCTACTACTTACGGCACTGTCTTCAGGCCCCGGAGTTTCAAGTTTCAATGTTTCGGCGTTTAGGTTTCAGGGTCTCAGGTGTTAAGGTTGGCGGTGTTAGGAAGTTGCAGCCTTCAGTCGCGGAGGTTTGCAACAGTAAGAAAGGGGGTCGTGAATATCCCCTGAGGGTCTTCAAAAAATGATAGCAACATGTAATCAAAAAACCGGTTTAGGGTTTAGGGTTTAGGGTTCTGGGTTTTATGGCCCCTGTAAATTTGGTGTTACGGGAATCGGACGCATGGTTCTGCGTTCGTCGGAGTACCTAGAGACTCCAATATCCATAAATTAGGGAAGATTCCTTAAATCATATGAGGGATCCTATTATAGTTTAAAGAATATTCCTTGAATCATATTAAGGATCCTATTTACAGTTTAAGGAACCTTCCTTAGTTAAGGGATATTGAAGTCTCTGGGTATCTGGGGCGTTTGTGAGGTAGAGGATGACGTTAAGAGAAGTGTAAATTTAGCATTCAAGGTATGTTTGAAGGTTCATGGTTCGTCAAGAGTAGTCTTATAGGTATTTCGATGTAAACAGCGAAAACGTTATAGCTCAGGTGAAAATCCAAAACCCTAAAATGCAGGAATCCTCTCTAATGGGTTTAGGGTTTAGTTCAGGGCTTGATTCCCCCAAAGCCGTTAGGGTTTAGGGTTTAGGGTTCCCCGGTTCAAGGCAGTTTGGGTTGGGTACTGCCCCCACCCTGTAACAGTCTAAAACATAATAAGGGGCTATACTGTTACAGAGTGGGGGCAGTGCCCAAAGTTTGGGGTTTCGGGCAAGAGCTTGAACCTTAGACCCGAAATTGCGGGCCATTCAGCGGAAACCGCAACCCTACACTCTGAGCCTTACACCTCTAACCTTTCAAGAGCGCTTCCATCCAGATACACCTCCAATAGTAGGTTCCAGATTACAGCAGTTTTTTGCTCATGATGTAGTAGATCTCAAACCAAGAAACTCTAACCTAGCTATGCCCTGAAGCAACCAATGACCAAGCACTCCAAACCTGAAATCCTGGATTAAGATTTCTGCTTGACGTTATCAAGACTCTATCAGTAAATCAACCACCGGATTTGCTTCTGCAGTGATCTATTCCCTGAACCCAAATCGTTTTGCCAGGAGATGGACGGCCAGAATGTCCAGGGCGGCGCCATCTGCTGCAATGCTGCCATCAGCGCGTGTGACTCTGGGTTGGAAATCAAGGGTTTAGAGGTTTGGAAACCCCGAGGTTCTGCAACTCTCCATCAAGGAATATTATCGAAATTGCAGGGAGGACCCTCAGTATGACTGGGTACCCGAAAACCTAGACACTAACCCCAGAGTCTAGAGGGTTTAGCATCTGAGGGCCCAGAGTTTGGCAAATGGATTCAGGATCCCACTCCCTTTTCAGGATTCAACAAACCTTTAACTATGAAGGGGCCTTGATATTGCGATGTATGTGATATCTTCATATTTCAAGAACGAGGTATCGTGGACTCTGTGGGGGGTGGGTTAGGATTTTGGGTGTAGAGAAGGCCCAAGGCAGCCTTTAAATCCTAACTAAACTCTGAACCCTCAACCGTTATCCCTTAAACCCCCTGCGGAAGGTTTTTTGGCGTGTACTTGTTCTGATGTTTCACGTGCAGTGATGACGTTCACAATGACTATGTTGTGTGCTACCCTGAGTCTTGCTGTTGTTCATGCGATTTCTATTAGGATGGTGTATGCTGTGTGTGGAGTGCGTTGCGGATTCTGCAATACAACACTTCTGTTGTGGTCGTGTACTGTTCTGAGTCGTGTTACTGCTGCTGCGACTGCCATTTCCATGGTGTGTGTTATGTGCGTGGTTGATGTTGTGCGAAGTTTCGGTTTGTCTGCGACGGGGCAGGATGTCTGCGACGGGGCAGGATGGGGCCCAGCAGATGGAGGGTGCGTGTGCCTGCGGCCACGTCCTCCTCTGCTGTAGGGTCTGTCGTTTTGTGGTTTAGTCTAGTAGTGCAGCGTAAGGATACTGGGGTTCTCCTTTTGCTGAACTGCCGGGTAGTTGCGGCTCCAGACTTGAAGGTCTGCTCGCGTGCTCCAGATGCGTTTATTGTCTACTCGGGGGGTTCATGGGTAGTTATAAGTGGGGTTATACGTCCCCGAATATGAGCTGTAATTATAGTTTCCCTACTTACAACCCTACTTATAACTACCCATGAACGCCCAAGTAACAGAATGTCATCCCAGGATAACCCTAAACCCTAAATCCCTAAACCCCTAAACCCTAAACCCCTAAACTCCTAAACCCCTAAACCCTAAACCCAAAACCGTGTCATCCCAGGATAAGGCCGGCGAGTGGCAGAAAGCACTGCTGCTCTTATGGGGCTTCTCGGCAGCAGACACGGTAATATAGGGGCCTAAGTAACCACCAAAGGGTTCCTAGGGTTCCTTTAAAGGGGTCTATAGGGTTACCATAAGGGATCTATAAGGGTAGTAGACTAGTACTATAATAGAGGCCTCAATCATTGCCTATACCATTTTGCGGGGTTCCTTCCTATAATTATAGTATACTGGGCCACCAAAACCCCACCCTTCTAGATCCCTTATAGTAACCGTTTTGGACGGTAGGGTTCTACAGTGGGGTCCTTTTTAAAGGGTACCATCGGGTGTTATCATAAGGTTACCCTTATGATTTTTGTGGGTTTTTGGAGACTCCAAGAACCTTAGGGTTATTTAGGGTTTGGGGTTTAAGGTTTAGGGTTTAGGGTGAAGTTGCTGCAAGGAGCGACCCGAAATTCAGAGTTGTGTGGTCAGCGGAGTTTGGTTTAGGGTTTGGGTTTTGGGGTGTGGGGTTTTTGGTTGAGGGTTTGGGGGTTCGGAATAACTTGAAACACCCTTCATATAGTCCTGGTTTAATAAGACAATATACCCCCAAACCCTGTAGAGAATAATAAGGAGCCTCTGAAGCAGAAGCCAGAAAGTTGGAAAATCATTATCCTCAAGCGCTTGCAGCGAGGTGTATGGAATCCCAGCACTGATCAGCCTTTATCCATGTTCTAACCGTCTCGGGCTCACACCCTAAATCCCTAAAACCTAAGCCCTAAACAGAAACCTTAAACCCTAAACCAGCAGCCCTAAACCCCAAACCAGCAGCCCTAAACCCTAAACCCCATGGGCTTGAAAGCCAACTGAAGCACTCGCACAGAGGTAAAGCCGCCGTCGATGGTTACATCAACGAGCAGCTCAGACCTAGCCAAGGTTTGCGAGGGTTTCAGGGTCAACACAGGATTATTTTTGGAATTCGAAGAGGGGGTCTTTAAAGGGCCCCTGACAATTCTTGAATATAGGAGTCTTACTACTTAGAATACGGGCTTTTGGATTATTCGAAGCTTTAGTCAGGGTGCATGGGCTTCCTGAGGGTTCAGGGTTTGGTTCTTTGTATGTGTAGAAACGAGGGTGCAGCGGTTACAAACGTTAGGGGTCCATTGTTTTGGGGTTTTCCAGGTTTAGGACATAGGGTTTAGGGCTCCGAACACTAGGGTTGGGTGTGTGTGGGAATTTGAACTTTACGGGTACCTTTTCCGTCTTGTCCTTTTTGGAGGTTATGGTGTCCTTTCGTAGGGATCTCCGAACAGTAGCTTCTTGGCTTCCTTGCTCGGAAAAGCACAGGGCTTAGGCAAGAATGTTTGTCGACCTCTTCGTTTGCAGTCCCAGGCCCCCGGCGGAAGGGATCCTCCATCCCGACCCTAAACCCTAAACCCTAAACCCTAAACCCGAAACCCTAAACCCTAAACCCTAGGCCCGCAACGCAGGCTCGAACGCCTGACTTCGAGCCCGGCAGCCCTGCACCCTACTTTAACCTGCCAAACCCTACTTTTCTGCAGGTTCTGAGTATAAGCCCCAATATGGGTAGTTGTCAAAATTATGGTCTTTTTTTGGGTAGCTTACGTGTTACGTGGCTTACAATATCAAAGGAACCCAAAAAGGGACCCTAATTTTGACAACCACCCATATGGAATTACCAGGGACCCGACAAAACAGTAGGTTTTGGTAGGTTAAGGTAGAGTTATCAACTGGTGACCCACTGGCTTTGGGGGTGAGGTTCTGCTGCAACTCCGCCATCAGCGCCTGCGGGAGGGCAGGCATTCCTTGCCGAACATGTTCTTCGTAATATAAAGGCCTCTTTAATACCGATACTGTTTGGAAGTTTTCTCATAACAACTATAGAATAACATGCCCCCAAACCCTATTCCAACATTAAGGCCCTTACATTATGCAGCTTTCAGATTCTTGGGGTGTTGCTTCAAACTCTCAAGGCCATGTTCTGAGTCTGGGGCCAAGTCCGAATCACCTCGTTAATGCCTTGCAGCGCCACTGTGAAGCCTCCAGGAAAAGTGAAGTGAAGCTTCGGAAACCCGTGTCCAAGCCTCATAAGGCTTGATGGAGCCTATGCTCCTTGTAAGTCACGATACAACGATACAGCTTGTAATTATGAGCAAGACCCGCCAGCATCGTCCGCCTTACTCCATCTTTTGCTCACTAATCACCCATGTAACAGCAACCTCCAGATCTACAGGTCACCAGACCTCGGATCCAACACACGTGTTTGACCATGAGCCCCAAAAGCTGAAGCCTGAACTTTCCCTAACCCCTAGACCCCCTAAACCCCTAAACCCCGAAACCCCTAAACCCCTAAACCCCTACTGGACCCCTAAACCCTAAACCCTAAACCCTAAACCTTAAAGTTTAATGAAGCTATGGGAGGTATGTGGGAGCTGGCTCTCTGGCACCTCGCCGCCGTGTCGGAGCTCTCTCTGGTGCCCACGGTGCCTTGAACTCGCGTGGGTAGTTCTCTAAACTAGGGTCCCTTTCAGGGTTTTCTTTAGGGTTTAGGGGTTTAGGGTTTAGGGTTGTTTAGTTCTCTAAACTAGGGTCCCTTTCAGGGTCTTCTTTAGGGTTTATGGTTTGGGGGTTTAGGGTTTAGGGTTGTTTAGTTCTCTAAACTAGGGTCCCTTTCAGGGTCTTCTTTAGGGTTTATGGTTTGGGGGTTTAGGGTTTAGGGTTGTTTAGTTCTCTAAACTAGGGTCCCTTTCAGGGTCTTCTTTAGGGTTTATGGTTTGGGGGTTTAGGGTTTAGGGTTATTTAGTTCTCTAAACTAGGGTCCCTTTCAGGGTCTTCTTTAGGGTTTTTGTATATCAAAAGGGTAGTTTTCTAAATGAGGATCCCATGTAGGCCCCAAATAGAGTATGGCGCCCTTGCAAAAAGGACCCCGAAAGGGACCCAAATCTCGAGAACTGCCCAAGTAGTGAAAACAAGAACACGAGCAGTGTTGAGTTGGAGGTGACGGTGATAGACGATGATGCTGACGACGACGACGATGATGATGATGATGATGATGACGAAGCTGACGAGTTGCTGCCGAGTATGCTGATGAGATGCTGTTGTCCTTGTCGGGTCTCTTTGAGGGTCTTTTGAGGGTTCCTCCTTAGGTCCCAAATATAGCACAGCACCCCAAAAAGAGACCTTCAAAGGTACTCTAGTTTAGAGAACCACTCAAGCAGTGAAAACACAAACGCGATCATTGCTGCGTTGGATGGTTTCGTCGTCATCGCGGTGGTGATGACGGCTGACGGTGGTGACGATTTGCGGCATGTGAACTCTTGCTAGGATGCCCGGTAGTACCCTTATTCCCTTTTTGTAGTCCTAGGTTCCTTATAAAGTTACCCAATACCAAAAAGAGAGGCCTTTTTCTTCCTAGGTTACTGGGTATCCTAGCTTACAAACAAGCAGAGCACGGGAGCGCCCGCAACAATGAAAAGTTGTCAGCCTTCAAACCATGGTGTTCATAGGGATCCTTAGGGGTGTAGGGGGAGGGGGGGTAGGGGGCCTTAAGGCCCATAATAAGGACTAACAAGGCCTATTTAAGGAAATATATAGTCCCCTACACCCCTCCCCCCTACACCCCTCGGGGTCCCTATGACCATGGTGTGCATACTTGCATCGAGCTTCTGAAACTGCGTGGGAGAAGGGATGTCCATGGAGACGCAGAATCCCGTGATCTGATTCATCTGAGACTCCTCTGGAGGACAGCAAGGAACGGGGGATCCTATCATGCCTGCTGAACTTGCCAAACCTTGATTGAAATCCTATGCTGTAAGAGTCTACACCCTAAGCTCGAAACCCCAAAAGCTCTAAACTAAACCCTAAACTCCGAAACCTTAAACCCCAAAACCCTAAACGCCCTAAACCCCGAAACCCCTCAACCCTCAACCCTGAAACCCTAAACCCCGATACCCCGAAACTCTAAACCCCTAAACCCCTAAACCCTAAACCCCTAAACCCCTAAACCCTAAACCCCTAAACCCCGAAACCTCTAAACCCTAAACCCTCAAAGGCCCCTCAAACTTCCCCCCGGCCTCGATCCCCTCAGCCCCGAGGACATGAACTACAGCGCTGCCATCTCGGGCTGCGAGCGAGGACCCGGGGGGCCAGGGCCAAAAATAGGGTTCCTTAAAGGGATCTATAGAGGGTTCCTTAAAGGGATCCATATAGGGTTCCTTAAAGGGATCTAAAAAGGGTTCCTTAAAGGGATCTATAGGGTTTGGGGTTTAGGGTCTACTCGGAAGGATCAGGGGACTTAGCAAGTTAGTTTACAAGTACCTTAATTGGGGTTATAAGTAATTATAAGTACAGTACCTTAATTATAACCCTAGTTACTAAGTCCCATGATCCTTCAAGTAGGGGGCCTTCGGTAGTAATTGCCTGTACGATTTTTTTAAGGTTCCCTTAAAGGGTTCCTGAAAGGGGCCTTAATACGGGGTCGGCTTGGGGTTTGGGGTTTAGGGTTTGGGTTTGTGTCAGGTTTCAGGGTTTCAAAGGCTTTCGGGTTTCAGGGTTTGCAGTTTAGGGCTTCAGGGGCTTTAGGGTTTAAGGGTTTCAGCGGTTTTGGGGTTTACGGCTCCAGCGTTTTTTGCTTGCGAGTAGGCTTGCACGTCTAGAAACCATAACCCTGAACCCGAAACCCGAAACGCCTGAACCCTCAAGCCTAAACCCTAACCCGACGCCACTGAACCCTAAACCCCTAAACCCTAAATCCTAACCCTAAACCCAGAACCCTAAACCCCTAAACACGTAGACCTTTCGGCCAGAGCTGTTGAGATCGTAGCCTCAAGCTCCCGGGTCTGAAAAAGCCGAAAACCTTCAAGCCTACTACAGGGGCCTTAATAACTAGAATAGGGTTTGGGGGTATATTATACTTTTTTTTATAATAAGAACTCCCCAAAACCCTCTTCTAATTATTCATGCCCCTATAAAAACCGGAGAAAGTTGCCTCTAGCCCCGCATTTAGCGGTGGAGGCCCCAAGCTGCTACAGGTCCTGAACTTTGCTTCTACAATTTCGGGGCCTTGGGGCCCTAGCACATCTCGGGTTTGGGGTTTAGGTCTTGCAGCTCAGAACTCAGGGCCTTTTTTTTTTTTTTGGGGGGGGGTTTCCGCAGCGAAGCAAGCCCAAAATCACCGAATCCCTGCACCTGAAAAATCCCAAACCCTTGCCTGCCCAAAGGCACCAGAACCGCGCGTAATAAAACCTGCAACGCAAGCCTTAAACTCGAAGCCCAAAACCCCAAATTCGACCTGAGCCTGAAACCCTAAACCCTAAATTCTGAGCCCTAAGCCCAAAACCCTGCATCCTAAACCCTAGCCCATCGTTGAGGCAGTCAATGGGAGAGAGCTTTGGTTCTGCTGGGTGCGATGCCCGCAGCCGGTCTCCAACCCACGGCTTTCAGCTGCCTTCATGATTAGAGTAGCGTTCCTTTAAAGGGTTCCTGAAGTTGGCTGCGTTTGCGGGCTTGTTTGATGGGGCACCAGGTTCTGCAATTGGTAAGTTTCTAGGGTTTGCCATTGAGGGTTTGGGTCGGGGCTGTAAGCATTAATGCTCGGAAGTTCGGGTTTCGGCTTTGGATCTAAGGCTAGGAAGTAAAGTCCGCGATCGTTTTTTCTAGGAGTCAGGAAGTGGAACGATTTTTGTTCTGCAGCTCTTACATCTCTACCCCCTCGCTTAGCGTCAGCTACTGATCGGGCTTTCCGGCCTAACTTTGAATGATCCCTACAAGAAACCTTTCTTTCCCCGTAAGTATCATGGAACCTAAAGCGGTGGGCTCTTGTACATTCTGGACGGGGGAGCATTGGGGAACGGAAGGTCTATGTTTCGGATCAGGTGATGTTGATACGGAAGTCAACTGAATTTGCCGCAGTGGAAATCACGATATGTATCATGTATCATATGTCCTCATTATCGTAACTAAACTCAATACCCCAATCCTACACCCTAGTAAAGCCTGATAAACCTAGATTATGTTCCTTGTCAAGGACGCACTTATGCAGTGGAACTTGGGGACGAAAGAGCTTATAAGTTGGCCCAACCTTAAGCCCAACCGGCATATTCCGGTGAACCTAAAAACAGCCCAAGCCCTGAAGTACCTTAGGGTTTAGGGTTGTTATGGCCTCAGTGTAAACCACCGAAAGCCCTAAAGCCTCAAGCTCTACATCCTACATCCTCAAAATCACAGCAGCTAAGGCTTCAGCTCCGTCATCGCTGCATGCGAGGGGGCTAGCGAGCGAGGGCCCCGGGATTCCGGCATCTGTCGGAAACGCAGAGGATGCTTTGGGATGGCTGCGGGAGTAGTAGGGTTTAGCTTTATAGGGTTTAGGGTTTCGGCGTAGGTTTAGGGTTTAGGGTTTTGGGTTCGGTGGTAGAAGGGTTTTGTGGGTTGGGCTTTCGGATTTTATCGTACACCCTAAACCCTGAAGCCTGCACGCGATGAATACCAGTTTGGGTTTTCGGACTTCGCAGCTTCATTCCGTTTGGTATTTGGCGGCAGCTCGATCAGATGCAAAAAGGGAACTGCCCACCCGCGATGCAGCAAACACTAAGTGGGGAGTTTGGCTTTTGCATGAAGGCTTACGTGCACTGCGCTCCCCAAGCCTAGCACTGCAGTCGCTGCCATCTAAACCATGCGAAACCCCAGTTCCTACTTGAAGGATCATGGGACTTAGTAACTAGGGTTATAATTAAGGTAACCATACTTATAACTACTTATAACCCCAATTAGGGTACCTATAACCTAACTTACTAAGTCCCCTGATCCTCCAAGTATGCTGTACATCCAACACCGTAAACGTTGGATTCGGCCGTCAGTCCTAAACCCCAAGCTAAATTAACCCGCTAATCCCTGAACCCTTAGCCCGACCCCGTAAAGCTGGAACCAGTATCCCGTTATCGTTCTCATATCGGATGATGCAAGTTGCACTATAGCACCCGGAGCCTTCATCCAAATAGTTCAGGCCTATGTTCAGCTAAGGCACGTTTTGGATAAACCCTAAACCCTAAACCTTAAGCCCTACGTGAAGCCAAAGCGTGTTTTCAGTTGTAATCCGCAAACCCTGATCCCTGAACCCTCAACCCTAAACCCGAATCCCTAAACCCTAAACGCTAGTCCCTAACCCCTAAACCCTAAACCTGAATCCCTAAACCCTAAACCCTATAATTCTTAAACCCTAAACCCTCAAGAAGGTGATACATAGAAATTGCTTGTCTTTGCTTGTAACCACAGCTGCGGCCCAGCACCCCAAATCCAAAATCAAAATAGAGTTCAAAAAACAAAACTCACTATAGTTTGTGCGTCGGCCAGGCCAACCTTGAGCTGGAGGTTAATAACGGATCAAGCCCACCCATGCCCTCAGCCCAGCCACCCCCAGCCCGTCCCGGCCCCCAGCCCCAGCCAAATCAATTCCAAAACCAGAACAAGGGTTGCAGCCCCCTCCCCAACCTCAGCCTTCAAAATCAGTTCCAAAAAATCAAAACCCCAGCCCTGCCCCCTCCCTAGCCCTACTGGCCCCCGCCCTGGCCTCCTGCCTGGCCCAGCCACAAACCAATTCCCAAAAACCACTCTACCAGCCCACCCCGAACCCATAAATCAGTTCCAAAACCAACTGCCCCAGCCCCAGCCCCCAGCTTTCAAAATCAATTCCCAAAACCAAAACTAGCCCCACCCCCAGCCCCCCAGCCCCAATAAGTTTTGACCGAAAGTTTTGACCAAGTTTTCCGACTGAAACTTTTATTTTGAGACGAGCGAAAGGGGCTGGGGCTGGGGGGGGCGGGGGCTGGGCCAGCCCCGGCCCAGCCCAGCTCCAGCAGGCCCACCCCCTAGCCCAGCCCCGAGGCCTCCCCCCCCACCAAATTCAAAATGTGGTTTTAAAAGAGGAAACTCCAGAAATGGGTTTTGGCGCCGGCCAACCTTCTGTTCTTCTCTACCTCTTCCGAGGTTGGCCGGTGAAAAAGAAACGATTTTTCCACCGGCCAACCTCGGAAGAGGTACAGAAGAACGGAAAGTTGGCCGGTGGAGAAGAACTGCTTTCGGCACCGGCCAACCCCCCTAAAGACCCTAAGCTCTAAACCCCAAACCCTACACTCCAAAACCTTAAACCCTAAACCCCAAACCCGGCGCAAAGCGGCGACGGGGTGAGGACGGCCCCATGCGGCTTGTCGTAGCATAACATGATGTAAAGTAGGTCGTCTGGCGAGAGCATCGACCGTGATGTGCTCACTTCTTGCTGTGATGTGAGGTTATCCCTACAAAGGACGGCAGGAGTGTGTGAGCGAGATTCTTCGGCTCACTCCGCCGTGGCGTCGACCAGTTCGTGTGGGGCCTCATCCATCACTCCCGCCACCAGTGCTGCGATCGCGAAGGCGTTGGGTGGTGGCGGGGCTACTCTCCCCCTCCGGTGTTCCCCCCCCTGGCTGCTCGAGCTGAAGGCTTGTAAGCGCCGCGGCCAAGTGGTTGGAGGCAGCGTCCAGCCTAGGTGCATGGCTTCCGTGATGTGTCTTTCCACCGCCTCCACTCTCTCTGCCTCCTCCGCCGTTGATGCTGGTGGGTCTTGTCCCCCCTTTGTCTGCTCTGTTCGTTCGCGGTGGGCTTCGCTCCCCGTGGCGGGGTCTTCCATCGCTTGGTCTGCTGCAGCCTCGGTTTCGTTGCTGACTGCGTGCTGGAAGGCTGCTGCCTGTGCCTCAGCAAGCGGACGAGCAGCTAGACCTGGCCAGGCCAGGGCGAGCTCGCGGATTCTGGGCCAGTTTCGTTGGAGCCCACTCGACCGCACGCATCGAAGGATCTTGGAGCAACTTTCGGAGTACTCCCTGAATCTGCTGCTCCGTGGTTGGCAGCCTAACGTCTGGGGAGTTCGGCTCTTAGTATAGTCGATCGCGGGCGATGCCGAATGACCGACCGTCGGTCCCTGAACACTGCAGGCACGTCGCACCTCTGTCGCTCGCTTCCTTGCCCTGGACCACGCTGGGAAGCTGGCGGTGTTCAACCGGTCTACAAGTTCGTGGAGGCCAAGGCGGGCGAACTTTGACTGCTTCTCACTTCCCTCCCTACATGATACGCTTAAGATGTGCCGTGTCGTTTTGCAGGTCCAAGGGCAGTGGCACAACTCGGAGGAGGAGTGGCCGGAGGCTGCACCCTTCGAGGACGGTTCGGCCACTGAGGAGTGTACGGTCGGAAGTTGTAGTGTGATGTGCGCCGGTTAACATGCATTCGTGAGCATATCGCTGGGATGCTGTGGTGAGAACACTGACGCCGAAGCACCCGAGCCGGGCGAGGTGGTCTGCAGTTGCACCTCCACCTCCCTATGCCCTATGCCCGGGAACTACGCAGAGTGAAGCAGGTCGCGGCGCCACCGATGGGCGGCGCGCACGACCCGGATCCCGAGGTCGGGTCCACTATCCTACACTGTCGGCGCGAGGGTTAGTTGTGCAACATGTTGCACATGGACTTGCGAGATGCGTCGCCCGACGAGGGGGACGAAGCTCAGTAGCAGTGCCGTGCTTCTCTCGTGCGCAGTGGCAGCGGCACGCGGAGGCGGGGCCCACGCGGGTCGGTCCCGGGTGGCCGCCGGCGTGACGCGATCTTGTCCGACTCCGAGGCCCGTTCTAGCGATGACGATGTGCTTGTGTCAGGTATTGTGCTTGCTGCCAGACTGGGTTGTAAGTGTGCGCGGTAGTGTTGCCCACGTTGTATAAGAGAAGGGGAGTGGAGTCCGGTACGGAGGTATGTCTTGCGAGCAGGTAATCGCCCAGTCGGTGGTCGGGGATAGAGTCCGAAACAAGTCTGAAAACTGCTCCCGAAAAAATACAGTTGACACAAGCTCAATGCCTGAACATCAGGCCAACTGCAGCAGGCCAGAACAGTACGTGCTCGTGAGGGATGTCTGGTGCGCTTGTTTCTGCACCGATCCACTCCTCAAGTTGGCGACGGTCGCATTGCTTGAATTGGGAAGGAGTTGCTGCTCGAACTGGTGTGCCGGCACATGTCATCTGCGAACGAATGAAGGTCGCCATCGTGTTGCACGAAGTCGACCGGACCCACTGCGGCGGGTCACGGGAGTTGGAGGGCGGCCGCATCTTCAGCACTGACCTGGGAGAACGGCTGCCAAAACCGCTGCACTTGGTGTCCGTGGCAAGTGGTATCTCGGCGTCCATGCAAGTCTTTTGCAGCGGACAGCTGGTGCCGTAGGCTGGTTGATGGCCTTGCTAGTTGAGGTATGCTTTCAACGCAACTTAGCATGGTGGTTGGGAGGAGGGGACAAGCCGCGGGTGGGGGGGGAGGGAGGGGAGGGTTTAGGTGTGTGGCAGTGGCTTTCCGAGGATGACCATCGCCGCTGCAGGCCCTCCTGGGTCGGGAGGACGGCCACATGTATTTGGTCCTCGCTCCTGGTCTCTCGGACGGCTGCTTGGCTGGGGGCCGTGGACACCATGGAGTCGGCGTTTTCTTGGCTCCAATTCTTGTTCATGCCGTCCAAATTTCACCGCAGGGGACGGCGGTGTCGATCTTGCATGTGTCCCCGTTGGTCAAACTGTGCATGGGTTGCGAGGCGTGTAACGAAGGCCATCGGGTCCGGTACAGGAGTGCGCGCGAGACCACCCTTCAGGACCGACGTGCATGCATGTCTATTCGGTGCATGCACAGGTCCCCTGCATGCCGATATCGCCGCATAATCGGAACGGTGATACTGAAACAGGACCACGTGGACTTCAAGCCATCCTCGGGTATCGACTGCCCGCACCCTATCAGGATGAGACACCGACACCGCTCCCGGACTTGCAACAGCAGCGCGTCGAGGCTTCCGATAATTGCAGCATGGGCAGTCGAAGTGCGTGGATAGTCAATTGAGCAGGTCGACCCGCACAGTTCCTTGCGGTGCACCAAAAGTGCTACCGCGCTCGGGCTGACGCTGCTTTGCGCCGACTACGAGAACCGCGTCCAGGAAGGCACTTTGGAGATGTGAGTGACCCAGACTCGTGCCGCACGATGCCTCCCTTATCTGGATGAGGTATGTGTTATTGTGCTTGCTTGCTATAAGGCCTGCGGTCTCGGGTGGCGTTCGGGTCATCAGTGACCCGCTCTACGACGACGCAATGGTGGCAATTCCTCGCGACCATTGATACGTCGTCTTCGGCGGAAAGCTGTACGTGGGCGAAGTCGCCGAGCCCTGGATGCATTGTTCGTGTAGACGGGATATAGAGATTAGCTGCACCACAGCGCACATACTCTTCGACCATCTGTGGAGCCGATAATCTCTTGAGAACGACTTGGACAGTCTTAGTCGAGATCACGGGATAATGACGCTACCTGTGTAAGTTTCACTTCGACCGGAGCGCACCGGTACACCGACAACATATAACCAACGACGGACTGCGCGATCTATGCTGAATACCATGTGTCTGCATGCTTAGGCAGTACTGCAGGCTTACGCCTACGGGTACCTGCGACCCGGATCAGCATTCAACCTGTCGAAAAATAAGTACAAGCGCCGTTCAACCCCAAGACGACGTGGGCTGACTGCGAACGCCTCGTCGGCTCGACATTCCCGCTCCGCGCTCACAAAAAAAGGGCACCGCCCCGCCCCCCTCCCTCTACATAGCCGGGTCGGGTGCGAGTTAGGTAAATGCAGAAAAGCCTCCCCAGCCCCAGCCCCAGCCCCAGCCCAGGCTGGCCACAGCCCAACACCAAGTCAAGGTTCCAAAAGGCAAAACTTCCGGTCAAAACTTTCGCCCAAAATTTATTGGCACCCAAACCCTTAACAATTTCTATAAACCCCAAACCTTAGTCCCCAAACCCTAAACCCCAATCCCTACACCTTTTTCGTTAATCCCTAAACCTTAATCCCTAAACCCTAAACCCTAATCCCTAAACCCTCATCCCTATAATCCCTAATCCCGAAACCTTAAACCCTGATCTCTCAAGATCTAAAGCCTGTGCTTCAGGTGGCAGGCCTCCCTCAGTTTCCTCGAGCTGCCCCTCGATCACGCCGTTTTGCTTGTCAGTGCTCTGAGTATAGTATATGATTCGTGTGTGTGTGTGTCTATTTTTGTGGGGGGAGGTACTATACTTGTCTGTTCTGATTACTTGGTAGTCTTATGGCAACGCTTCTTATGGCCATTATGATCGTTGTTGTTGTTGTTGCTGTTGTCTTGCAGGGGGCATAATAAAGGAGGTCTGAATACTTAGTACCACGATAAACCCGAAGCCCTTCATGTGAATACTTAGTACGAGCATGAACGCCAAACCCGTTGTATGAATACTTAGTATGAGCACTCGTACTTGTTGCGCTCCCTGTTCGGGCCGACCTTACGGGTTCAGGGTGCAGAGTATAGGGTTCAGGGTTTAGGGTTAAGTGTTCAGGGTCTAGGGTTCAGGGTTCGGGGTTTATAATTTGGAGTTTCGGGTTCGGGTTGGTTCAGGGTTTAGAGTTCAGGGTTTAGAGTTTAGGGTTCAGGAGTTATTTAGGGTTTCAAGTATAGGGCTTTCGGATTTTCTGCTCGTACAAAGGATGGATCGCCAGAGGATGCCCCCCGACACGATCAGCTGGACGGCTGCCATGGGTGCCTGCGTCAAGGCTCCGAGACTTCAACCCTCAACCCTACTTGGAGGGGCAGGGGACTTAGTAAGTAGGTTATAAGTAGAGTTATAAGTACCCTCGATGGAGTCACCCCAATCATAATCCTACTTGTAAATGGCTTACTAAGTCCCCTGCCCCTCCAAGTAAGTCTGTTTGTCTAGTGTCAACAAGTTAAGGACACCAGCCTACACGCGAACTGGCAGGAAGCTTGTTGCAACGGTAAGCACCCGAAATACTAAAACGCTGAATCCCCAAAGCACTGAAGCGCTAAAGCCCTAAGCGGCTAATGCCTCGAAGCGCTTGACAATGTCCGAACACCCTCAGACCCGAAGCCCTAACCCCAAACCTCTATTCCGATCGCTGCTTCCACCGAATCACGTGGCAGTTCGCATCAAAACTCTCAGAGTTCAGCTGTTCCACCCAGTCCCTGCAACCCTGACACGGAAGAAGTACTAACGCCGTTCCTTTATATAGTGGTCGTAAGATGTACCTCAGGACTCTATTCTAATCATAAGCACCTGTATATCGGATTTTTTCAAGCACCTGAAGCCTGCAACTTAAATCCCGAGGCTCCCTTCGTATTCCTAGGTAATTCTATGACATGTGATCCCCGAGCCCCATTGAAGTTGCTTCGGCCCCTAGATTAATCTCCCACTGAAGCGCTCGGCTTCAGGGGTCTATAGAAATTCATGTTTGAGGTGCAGGTGTGCAGCTTTCCAGCCTGCCGCCCCTCAGCCTCTATGCCACAGCCCCAAACCCGAAACCTGAAACCTCAAACCTCAATCACTCTAAGTCCTACTGCAGGCCTCAAACCTTGGGCCCTGAACACTAAACCTCAAGCCTCTGAACCTCAAACTCTAAACCTGAAACCTCAAACCTCAATCACTCTACACCCTACTGCGGGCCCCAAGCCTTAGGCCCTGAACCCTAATCCTCAAACTCTATACCTGAAGCTTCAAAGCTAAATCACTCTAAACAGCCCAAGAGCCGCCCAGGCGGCTAGGTGGGAGGATGCTTTGGACTTGCTGGTGCGTATGTCCCAACAGCAAATGGAGGTGGACCGAAGCATGGCCAAGAAGCGTTTCCTTTTTTGGATTTGCCTGAGATATGTTGGGTCAGGGTGTGGGGATGCTAACTGCACCACGAAGCCTTTGTTTCTATAGCCCAAAGAGTCAGGAGGCTGCCCACCTGAGCCGCCTCTGTTTTCATTTGATGAACTCGAGACCTTGAGCCCAATCCCGAAAAACCCAAACTCAAACCAGAAGTGGATCCTGGGCCCTACGCCCCAAACCCTACTTGGAGGATCAGGGGACTTAGTAAGTTAGGTTATAGGTACCTCAATTGGGGTTATAAGTAATTATAAGTATGGTTACCTTAATTATAACCCCAGTTACTAAGTCCCATGATCCTTCAAGTAGACCCTACTCCCTAAACCCTATAGATCCCTTTACGGAACCCTAGAGATCCCTTTAAAGGAGCCCCTTTAAGGAACCCTAAATTACTAAGTCCCATGATCCTTCAATTAAGGATACTGCTTCAATGCGGCGGCCAGCGCGTGTGAGAAGGGCGACAGGCCCAGCGGCACAGCGCGAGACTTCGTGGGGTTTTGAGGGTTCAGCGGGTTTAGGGCTTTTAGGGTTTAGGGTTTAGGGTTTAGGGTTTAGGGTTTAGGGTTTAGGGTTTAGGGTTTGGGGTTTAGGGTTTGGGGTTTAGGGTTTTGGGTTTAGGGTTTAGGGTTTAGGGTTTGGGGTTTAGGGTTTAGGGTTTAGGGCTTGACTCGCTTTGCAGTTGAAGCATATTGTAGGATCTCATGGCTTTTCAGGTTTCGGGTTTTGGGGGCCCTCTGTGTTTCATGTCGGGGTGCCAGGACGGTGAAGGTCGTTTGTCGAGGGTTGAGCGGGATGTTGGTTTAGACTGTGGGGGAGGCTTGGATCCCTTATAGACGTTTTTCAGGATCCCTTTGAAGGAGCCCTACCCTATTTATCGAAGGTCCTGATCTCTAAATGGATAAAGAAAAATAAATAAATAAAGAGAGAGAGAGAGAGAGAGAGAGAGATATATATATATATATCTATATCTATAATACATAGATAGATGCACTCCTATTATAGATCCCTTATTTAGGGAGCCTTCTACGGTTAGGGGTTTGGAAGATCGGGGGCTGGGGCTCGGGAGGCGAGGGTTGAGGGGGACCGTCTACCGTTGTTCGGGTTTTAGGGTTTCAGGGTTTAGGGTTTAGGGTTTTAGGCTTTAGGGTTTTAGGGTTTAGGGTGAAGGGGTTTAGGGTTTATAGGGGTGTATAGGGGTTTAGGGGTTGAGGGGTTGAGGGGTTTATAGGGGTTTAGGGGTTTAGGGTTTAGGGGTTTATAGGGGTTTAGGGGTTTAGGGTTTAGGGTTTAGGGGCTTAGGGTTTAGGGGTTGGCTGCAAGAGAGTCTGGTAGTGAAGTAAGGCATAGCTTAGTAAGGTAGAGCAGGGTATACGGTATAGAAGGGAGCATCTTGCCGTGTTTTTGGGAAGGATCTGGCGATTGCGGTGTGACAGTGTTCCTGCATTTTGCCCATCCGCACATGAAGCCATAACGCCCCGACAGTGACCTAGAGGCTCCAAATATAGTACCGTTATGGAATTAGGTCCCCAAAGCCATGATATGGATGGTCTTTTGGGACCTAGTTCCATAATGGTACTATATATGGAGCCTCTGGGTGAGTGGCATTAGAGACTCTGAGCACGACTAGTTCGCAAACACGACAGGTGGGACGTTGCACTGTCGGTGCTGGCGATGATGAACCTCGGTTCTGGTTGTTCATCGATTGTCACCGTTTCTGCTGGTTTTTGTCAGTTTGCTGAAACCCAAAACCCGAAGCCCAAATCCCAAGCCTTAAACGCCGAAATCGAAGCCTAAATCCCAACGGCTAAACCCCAAGCTCTAGGCCCTCTGACTTTGCCAAAACGGCAGCCCGAGAAGTGATAAAACAGCCTCACCGATGCCAAAAACACCGAAATCCTGAGCCCACTATCCACGCATCCCCGATGTCGGGCCGAACTTGCACTGCAACCCAATTGGGACTGCGGGTTATGGGGTTTCGGGTTTATGGTTGAAAGGGGGTTTCGGGTTTAAGGTTCCTTTCTGACTTTGGTTAGGGCTCTCGGATTTGAGCATTCGTCGTTCAGTCGTCCAGGCTATGGCTGAAGGCTAGCAGGTCAACGCATTTGCAAGCGGAGGCATCGATGGCCAGCACAGCTTCACGCCCCAATCCCTGAAACACGCCTTTCAAACCCTTCTTTAGGGAACTATTTTGGGGGCTCCCTATAATTATAGTATAGCGGCCCCAAAACACTATTCTAATTACTAAGGCGCCTATTTTACGAACGGGAAGCAGGTGGTTGGTGGTCATCGGTTTCTGCTTCAGGTCCCGGAGGTCTCCTCCGCTCCCTCAGCTAACATGGCTTTCGCGTTGTACTCGGCTGACGGACGAGTCGGGATAGCAAACAAAAAGGCCTTAGACCTACACCCCCGCACGCCAGCTAGTTGAGTCAGGGTAAAGCTCACTGAAAGCTGCGATGCCTGCTATACTCGTCAACCTACACCCCTAAAGCGGCTACTCCCCGCCAGTCCAAACCTAACCCTGAAGCTCCATAACTTCTAACACCCCAAAACTGCATGTTTTCTTTGTGCCTCCGTCTGTCCCCAGCATTCACGATAAATCCCCCAACCCTCCCCAAACGCTAAGCCCTAAATCCTAAACCCGAAGCCCCAATAAAGGAACGTCCGGCGCCTGCCGCCGGAGATAGTCACCTACAACGCCGCAATGGCGAGCTGCAAGAGGTGGGGGCTTACTTGGTTTCAGACAGGGTCTTGCACGGGGTTTAGGGCTTTATACGAGATCTTTCAAGGGGTCCATAGCCGCTTACAAAAAAGGGCTTTTAGGGTGGTAGAAGGCGTGTTTGCCAAAGTCGGGCACCTTGTGCGCTCACTTTTGCATCGTACGATACGGTTGTTGTTGAAGGTCTATGTGACGGGGAAGATTCCTGGCTTTTTTGTTTGAACCTCTCGCTCGCGCTTGTCGATCCAGCCATAGGATGGTGCACACTGCGAAAGTGCCAAAGTTTACCCTGCTTCCAACCACAACACAAGCCCCCCCAAAAGCCCTAGACCCGAGCTGCGAGCTCCTCAATCCCAGACCAAATCCTAAGCCCGAAGTTGAAAACGAGCCTTGAAGGTATGAGGTTTGGGTGTCAGCCTGGAGCCTTGTGTAGCGACAAGCCGAGACTGCGGCCTCTTGAGCCCTTTGACAACCCAGAGACCCCAACATCCCTTAATCAAGGAATATTCCTTAAATCATGATAGGATCCCTAATATGATTTAAGGAGTATTCCTTGATTAAGGGATATTGGAGTCTCTGACAAGCCAGGAAAAGAAGCCCTGTTCGTCTAAAGCCAGGAATGGGCTCTGGGAAGCTGCCCTGCAGCTCATGGAGCAAGCGAAGGTCGAGCAATGTGTGGTTTCTATATTTTGGGTTTTAGTTTTGAGGATTTAATTCTATGTATTTTCTGGCTTTTAGGGGTTTTGGAGTTTAGGCATGTTCTGGCTTAGTGTTTCAGGTTTTTGGGGTTTCCAAAGGGGTTGCTACATGTGTCACGGACAGGGGTCTCCAAAATCAAGGCAGATCATGGTCTTGGGAGCAAAACTTTCTGCCAAGCATCGAAGCTAACTAAGAGCCGATCCTGTACCAACTCATTGATTCAAACACCGCAGTATGTACAGTCAACGGAAAACGCTTGGCACCGAGCGACCTCTTGAACGAAGTCTGCTGCGGCTAAGAATAGTGTTCGCAGATCCCAAACTGTAAACCTTAAACATCAACCTCAAGCCAAGCCCCTTACCCGGCACTATGTGCCAAAGAAGAAATAGATGCTATCGTGCACCGGGTGGAGGTCAGTTACAGGGAACTCCAGAAAGTTGGAATATGGCTTCAGGGTAGGATACCTTATAATTTACCATAGAAGGGTCAGGATACTCATATTCCAACTTTCTGGCTTTTACTGTAAGCTTGACGAGGTTATCTGCCCAAGGATCTCAGGCCAACCACACGACCTTCGGAGCCCAAAAAACCCTGAGCCCCGATCCCCAAAAAGCCAAAAATCGCAAGCCCCAAAACCCCAGACCCCCGGGAGGATCTCGAAAGTAGATCCTCTAACTTGGGGCCCTATACTACTCAGGGTACTTTATAGGAACCCCCCATTAAGGGATCTACCTTTTTGAATCCTCCAAAGGGGGTCTGGGACCCTAAAACTCGGCACCCTGAGCCCCAAGCCCTAACCCTATCGAAGCCCTAAACCCTACTATTTGCTTGAGAAACCACCAAAAAACAAAAATAATAATCCCTACATTACCCCATAAGGAATATATGTTTTTTTTTATTTTTTGGGGGTTCTTAAGCAAATAGTAGAACCCCAAAACTTGACCACCCTGAGCCTGAGAGCCCAAGCCCTGAGCCCCTAAGCTCCCTAAAGCCCTGGCTTTAGGGCTTTATCTAGGACCTGGAGCAGTCCCTGACTGGTTTAGGGTTTAGGGTTTAGGGTTTAGAGTTTAGGGTTTAGGGTTTAGGGTTCCCTTGTAAGCCCCTTTAAACCAAAAGGCACCCCTTTGTATTCCTAGACTACTCTTTGGGTCTAGTGGATCTCCGGGTTCCTAGAAGAATTCTGGCTTGCAGTAGCTGAGAAGGTAACCTTTGCTGGGTTGTCCTTTGGGATCTTCTTTAATTTCCCCTACTATGTTGTAGAGAACCATAATACTAAATACTTTTCAAAGGGCTTAAAGGACAACTCAGGTTTAGCTTTTGGGGTTTAGGGGAATCTGGGTCGAGTGATGGCTTGAGCCCTGAGCTGCCTGCAGGCGGCTTCGCAGCCTCCGGATGCGATCAGCTTCTTAGTAGCTGAGTGGATACACTTTACACTTTTGGGGATCATGTTACCCACTATAAAACTAAAAGTGTACACACTTTTTGGGGCTTCTGAACTCAGCAACTAAGGCTTCAACTGCCTCATCGGCACGTGCCACCTCGCTGGTCGGTGCCGCAAGTCGCATCTTCAGGGGGGCGATTTCGGAGTGTTAAGGTTTTCTACGAATTTGGGTTGAATAAGAGTTGTCATTTAAAGGGTTATCTTTATAAGTTTGCTTTTAGGCTTTAGTTCTACAGGATTTTAAGGCTAGAGTTTTGGGCTTGGGATTTCTGGCAGGGTTTGCGTTTTTGTTCAGGGTCCGGGGACTTGGCTGAATACAAGTCTTCGAACATAGTGAAAAGGGATTTCGGGTTTAGGCCCCAGGGGCTTGGGAAGCTTTAGGGATTTTGGTTTCGGTTTGGGTCGGAGTTCGGGATTTAAATATTTGTGCTTTGATTTTTTTGTGCTAGTGTCGGTTTTGGTTCATAGGTTCAACGGAGGCATATAAGGGACTTGGGTCTAGAGATTGGCGTGCAGGTGTGTCGTGCCCACCTCGGGCATGTAGCGGAACAGTGTTACAACAGGTGGAACCTCTTGCTGCAGCCGTGAACCTTGACCCCAAATCCACATGTCCAAGATAACTCAAGGTGCAATATCAGAAAGGCAGCTCATGCTCCCAAAGCTCACCCTAAAGACGCTTTGAAACGCGTACCGTCACTTCTGGCCCCGTAGGCCTTCGAAGCCCCAGACCCCGCGCCGGCACCCCCAAGACCTCCACCTCCCCATCCCGAAACTCTGAACACTTTAGCTTAAACTTCTTAAACCCTTTACCCCAAACCCTTTCGCCAAAAGCCCTCTCAAAGCCCCAAACCTCCCAGCTCGAAGCTTTGAGCTCTTAAGCCCGCAGTGCGAAACGCCAAGCCCTGCAGCCCCACTTCGCAGCACCATTACTAAGGGTTTAGGTTCTAGGGTTCTTGGGTTCTATTTCAGAGTTCTTGGCTTCTTGTCTTCTTGGGTTTTTGGATTCTTGGGTTCTTGGGTTCTCGAGTTCTGGGGTTTAGGGTTTAGGGTTTGGGGTTCTAGGGTTCAGGGTCTAAGCTTTATGGCTTCGGCCGCCAGAGGTGGGATCTGTCGCTGCACTTCTTGTCTGCCATGCAGCCTTCTGCGCTGACCCCCGACCGGAGTCTTGACGGCGGTCAGGGCTTAGGGTTTAGGGTTTAGAGGTATTAGCTTTAGGGCCGTAGGTTTAGGGTTTAGGGTTTAGGGTATTGGGGTTTGGGGTTTTTAGGGTTTAGGGTGATTTGGGAGCTAAGGTTTCAGGGTGTGGGGGGGCTTGTTTCCATCAGACCCCCCAAAACCACGGGAATTCGGAAGAAAGCTGCCTTCCGTCACATGCCTTTAACCGACAACCTTTGATTAACGATCTCTAAAGAGTCCGAGGAACCTTGCTCCGCCCAGTAATTTCGGGTTTAGGGTTTAGGGTTTAGGAGAGTTTGTCTTTCTGGACTGGGAGAGATCTAGGCCTGAAGGCTTCGGTTTTCATGGGGTTTTGGGTTCGGGGTTAACAAGTTGCTTAGGCTTTTCAGGGAGGGAGGGTTCAGGATTGGGTCTGAGGGCCCTCATAAGCCTAAACCCGGAAACCCTAAACGCTTGAGGGTTTCGCGCAGTGTTTTAACGCGGTTGTGAAGCTCTAGAGGAGATGCAGGGTCGATCCTTGCTAGTGTCCTTTGGAGCTGTTTCGTAGTTTTACTGTAGTAAGACTCAAAGGGCTTTATGTTTATGGTTTAGGGTTTAAACCCTAAGCCCCTATGGGAGTTTCCGAAAATAGGGGACCCTAACATAGTACCCTAAATCGTAGGATCCCATATGATAAGGACCCCAAAATCAGGCACCCCTAATTTTCGGAAACTCCCAAACCCTAAACCCCTTCATAGAGCCCTTAAGGATCCCTTTAAGGAACCCTTATGGATCCCTTTAAAGGTACCCCTACTTTTGGTGTTGTTTGTCTAGGTGTTTGCCAGCTCGAGGGAGTACTAGGGAGAATTAGGGATCACTAGGCTATATACCCCCCTTGGACCCCCCTCCCTTAAGGATACTACAATGGTACGTTTTGATGCCAGCAAGGAGACTTTGTGTTTAGGGGTCTATAGGGTTCAGGGGTTTAACAAGTAGAGGGGTTTAGGATGGTTTACGGGTTGGGGTTTCAGGGGCGTTGAACCAAGCACGATAGAAGGATCCATACTCCATTCGGTCCTAGCCGCCGGATCACTGCGGTGCAAACGCGACCTTTTGTACTAGCATGACTACAGTCACGCCCACCAGGTCCTCTTAACAAAAGCAACGGCCAGAAGTGATGTTGACTCCATCTTCTTACCCTTTGACGTAATTCAGGCGCCTTCTCACACAGACGAGCTTGATCAAGATATCTTAGAGCACGCCGAATCTCAGGTCCAGCTACACGGAGGCCGCGGGGGCTTGCGAGAAGTCCTCGCAGTGGCAGCATGCACTGGAGGTCCGCTGCATGTCTGGTGTTTGGGTTGAGCCTGGAGGTTTTGGGCCTTTTGGGGTTTCATCCCTTGAGGGCTTAGGAGGGTTACCCCAAGAAGTGGGGAGTGAAACGGTGAAACCCTGCGGCCCCATGGAATTCTCCAAAATCAGAATTTCCGCAATGGACCACGTACTGAATCGAATACGTCCCTGAAGGCCTTCATAAACTGTAAACCCTCAATATTAGTCCTTTGCCTTTGAGGAACCCTTTAACAGAAGACTTGTTCTACTTATCAAGGGCCCTGTCTGAGCTTTGCGAAGGGTTTCACGGACCGGTATGCTTCAGGGGTCTAGGATTCCTTTGGAAGGTTCTTAGAAGCTGTCGATTCAGGGCTAAAGGTTTTGTGATATGGGTGTTGGGACATAGTGGGAAATTGGGCTTTGAGGGCTTTGCCTTTTTGATGAGTGTTACATAGGATCACTCTTTGGGATTTGCTCCTCTACTACGCATGAGTAAACTTTGGAGATACACGGATCCTGCTCAAGATTGTGTATCTTGAGGCAGAGAAAGAAAGGCATGTTGGACTCTATTGAAGGAACTGACTTTAAGTTACCAGAAGATTTCAACCATACTATTTACTTCGAACCCTTACCATTGGGGCATCTTGTATGACGTTTTTGAAACACTCACGAGGAGCCCTATGAAAATCGTATAAGCACCTGTCCTTAAACCCTAAAAGCCCCTACGACTTTGGAGGTCTTGTCATCGGCGTTGTCTCAGCAGCTCGTGCCCGATGGAACCTGCGTTGGGGCTGTGGCTGGAGCGCTTCGCAGCGCCCAGGGCGAGGACTCGGGTCGCGAGTTTGGGTTTCGAGGTGAAGCACCCGAAGCCTTCAAAAACCCCCCGTAATTAAGGGCCATACCTTAAATTATGATAGGATCCCTAATATGATTTAACCTCTAGTTAAGGGCCATACCTTAAGTTATGATAGGACCCCTAATATGATTCAAGGTGCACTCCTGAATGAAGGGGTTTGGAGACTCTGGGCACAGGGGCTTTCATGAACTCGCGACTTAACGGGGTGGGTTTGTAGGGTGTAGTAACGGGGGCTCAGTAGTCACAGTCTGGGGAAATCATATAGACGTATATGTACGCGCGCTATCAAGAAGTATATGTACGGGGCTATCAGGGATTTGTTTACTAGACTAGCTGTTCAGGCTCCGAACTCATGTATTACTGAGGCTTCACAAGGGCTTTAGATTGGTGGACGCAGCATCTAGAGTGGATGACTCAACAAGTCCGGATGCTCCAAGTGCGACACTTGAAATTGGAGGTACATGTCAAATTACATGGTGCAGGTGCGAATGCCTGCTTGGGCTACTAGCCGGAGAATCAAGCTCACACATCTGTACAGCACACCTTCAAGAAGGTGTTTGGAGTGTCGGAGAGGGCTATTCGCAAGGCACTGCCAGCTTCACCGCAGCCGAAAGTGCAAGTACATTTTCTGAAATGCAGACTTTTGGTTTGCTCTTGCTGCGTACACTTCGGAAAACGATCCGAGGGACTGCGACTGCAGGTTTGGTGCATTTGCAGAAAAACGATTTGCAGGATAGAATCTGTGGACTCTTGGTGTGCCGAATCTCTCAACAAAAAGCAATCCAAGTAACTGCAGACTGCAACCCAGACTCCACAGACCACAATCTTCGCACGGACGGTCCAAACTATCGCGTGATGTTCTTTTCCGTTGAGACCTCGTGCCAAGACTCAGATGTTGCATTGTTCAGGATAGTGAGGCAAGAGTTGATTTCGTGCTTTCGACCTATTGCTCCAAAATTGCGTTGGACTGCGCAGCGCTGGGAACCCGTGCCGCAGCTCCGACCAAGGGTGGTAGACCAAGTGCTGGGGCAGGGCTTTTGATGATACCATCGAAAACCGCAATCGCACAAGCTAGACTGTAAACTTAGCAAAATGAAGAATTACAAACTGCTCAAAATCTGCCAAGCTTAAACGATTGCACGAAAAGCTTTAACCAACCTGCAATATCCTGCAATGCTAGCACGAATTTGAATCGCTTTAAGTTGTCCGAAAATGCTGGCGGCTACGTTGCAGTTTTGCATGTTTGGCCATTTATTGTAACAAGTCTCGATGTTGTCAAGATTTTGGATTGGCATTTTGCTTAGACTCGACTTAGAGTCCAAAATCGGACTGCATGCCGAAAGCCCCAAATTTTGCACCCAAAGCGCTTGCTCTGAACATTATAAGCCCTTGAGCTCCCCTAAACACCGGAAACATTCGACCCAGGAACCGTGAACCCAGAACACAAAACCCTAAACCCGAAGCCCGAAACCCTAAACCATAGACTAAACCCCAAACCCATACCCTCAGACTCTACAACCTCAAGCAGGAAGCAGCCCTGGGGCTTCTCCAGCAGCTGCGGAAGCGCTGGAGCCCCGAGAATGCGGAGCCAGAGAACTTCGGCGGAGGTGCGGCGGGGCTTTCAAAATTAGGGTCCCTCTTCTCTTGGGGTCCTTTTCATAAAGGTGCCATGCTTGAAGGATCATGGGACTTAGTAACTAGGGTTATAATTAAGGTAGCCATACTCATAAGTGCGATTTGGGGTCTGTGGTCCAGAGGTCTTGGATCACCCCGGTTTGTCATTCGTCCGTGGCAAACCCGGCCCTTTGGCTGAACACCCCAAAGCACCCCGCTTCACAATCCGAAGCGAGTGGCCGGAAGAGTTCGTAATACAACATTTCTCCATACAGTAGGTATACTATACTCTGCCCCAAAGCTCAACGCTAATCATTCACGCTCCTCCGCAAAACTAGAAAGCCTTGGAAAAGCGAGAAGACTCCGAACTCTTCATTCTCATCAAGAGGAAAGACAAAAAACCCGGCATCCACATCCCCATTCTACATATGGCTTAAGTGAAGAACCCTAGCACCCCTGTACGTTACCAAGGCCCCTTTGACGCCCAAACCCGAAACCCAAGACCCTAAACCCAAAACCCCTAAACCGCCCTAAACCCTAAACCCGGAACCCCTAAACCGCCCTAAATCCTAAACGCTAAACCCGGAACCCCTAAACCCTGAATCAAGAACCGCTAAACCCTCAACCCCGAAGCCCCTAAGCCCCCAAGCTTCAAGTAAGACTCTGCGAGGCATCCCAGTGCTCGCAAAGCGTCCCGGGGTCCTCGTGGTTTCGAAGCCGGAGGGCCTCAGTACCGAGGCAAGGCCTTCCATTCTTCTGGATGTCAGTTTAGGGTTCAGGGTTTAGGTGTAGGAAAAAAGGTTTATATGGGTAGTTGTCAAAATGACGGTCACTAATTGGGTACCCTAAATATTAGGTGCCGTATTATGTTAAGAACCCAAGAAAGGGACCCTAATTTTGACAACCACCCATATAGAGTTTAGGTTTGCATACTTCTCTTGTTCTCCTTGCTGTTAAAATTGGTTTGCTGTTGCTATTGCTGAGGTTTGTGGGCATTGTTGCATCTTTTTCTGATCCGCTTGGCTTTTGTTACTGTTACTATTGATACTATTTCTATCAAGATTGGTGTTCACTTTCTACCCAGGGCTCAGCTCTGTCAAACCCATGAGCCCTAAGCCCTAAACCCACAAGGGCCTATAAACCTTCTAAGACCTTGCAATCCTTAGAAAACCTGGAAGTCTTTAAGACCTATGAGCTTGTAATGAGCTTGTAGGCCCAACAAACCGTAAACTCCAAACCCTAAGCCCCAAACCCAAAACCCTAAACCAAGACCCTTCGCCCCAAAACCTTGCCCATGCTCCCCGGACCCGAAGCCCTAGACCAGAGCTCCAAATGCGACGCCCAAGAGCAGCACCTAGCAAACTGCAGAAATCCGAGCTGTCGGGGGCTTGAAGAAATAGAAATATTGTTCTATTGTTCCCTTCTAATCCCTATATAGTTTTACTATATTATACACTAGAACCTAACTCTATTGAAGGAAAATCGCAGGATAAGCTTCAAGTTCTTTCCACGACAAAGGAGCAGCTCAACACACAACTCTCAAGCCATATCCCGGAAGTCACAAGCCCGAAACTCTACAATCCAAACCAAAGCACTGCAATCCTAAAGCCCTAAACCTCGTAACCTTGTATTCCCAACGCTCAAGAATCCTAGAGCCCGGAGACCTTAGAGAGGGTAAAAAAAGGAAAACCTTAGAGGACATGCCGGACCTAAAGCCCTAAACCCTGTAGTCCCAACGCTCAAGAATCCTGGAGCCCGAAACCCCCAGAAATCGAGAAGTGTACCAAGTTTTTTTTTAAAAAAGAAACCCCCAGAGGACATGCTTGAGAGACTCTTCGGCAATCGCTGGCAAAACGTTGTGCAAACGGTGTCGAGGCAGGCTTTTTTTGTGCAAGAGCGCGTTAATCTAGGAACCTGATTAAGAAACCCTGAGCCTATAACCCCAAAAATAGTAGGTTTGATACAAGGAACCCTAACAATGGCCCAAGGTTTTTTAATCAGGTTCCTGCATTTGGGGGGCCTTAAAGGGCTCCTTAAAGGGTTCTTTGAAAGGTTCTACAAGGGATCTGTAAGGTTTAGGGTTTTGGCATTAAAGGGCTCCCTAAACGGTTCGTTAAAGGGTTCTTTGAAAGGTTCTAGAAGGGATCTGTAAGGTTTAGGGTTTTGGCATTAAAGGGCTCCTTAAAAGGTTCGTTAAAGGGTTCTAGAAGGGATCTGTAAGGTTTAGGGTTTTGGCATTAAAGGGCTCCTTAAAAGGTTCGTTAAAGGGTTCTAGAAGGGATGTGTAAGGCTTAGGGTTTTGGCATTAAAGGGCTCCTTAAAAGGTTCGTTAAAGGGTTCTACAGGGGATCTACAAGGTTTAGGGTTTGGGCTTCAGGGCTTAGGGTGTAGGAATTTTGGGGCCTTGATCAGTAGACTAAGGCTTTGAGTATATTATAGTCAATGTTTATATCGGGAAACCGGAAGGAAAAGCATTGGTAACTTTCGGCGCTCGCATAAGGGCTAAGTGTTTTCGACCGATTAGGGCTTTACGTTTATGGACTGTGCGAATCACTCAAATACTGGACTGGTCATACTCATAGTAACCATGGTATGACGGGCTTGAGTCGGTGCTGGTTAGGTTCGTGCTGTGAAGGTTCAGACCGGGTTCTGGAATGTGCTAGCCTCCTCCGCTTTTTTTGGTGGGCGGAAAATAAAAGAGATACAGTCCGATTGTCTATCGCCTGCATATTTCAGGGTTACGTCCCCGCTCCTGTGCTGTACTTGTGGGTATTAGACAGAACAGCACGAGGGCGTCCGTGTAGACACAGTCTGTCGCAACTGCAACTTTCGCCATCTGTACACTCAATCCTGGATCGGAAGCCCCTCACCTTGCAGAAACCCTGACAGAAGCCCTTTATGAAAGCGTTTCCAAGCCCTGAGGTTAAATCCCCAAGGCTAAACGTAAAGCCCTAAACCCAACCAGGCCCCGAATGCTGAACCCTGAACCCTCAACCCCAAACCCTAAACCACGGCCTGAACCCTGAACCCTAAACCCTGAACCCAAAACCCAAAACCCCAAGCCCTAAAGACATTAAAGTGAGCTGTAAGAACAGCCCTAAAACCCACCAGGCCCTCCTAACCCTAAACCCAAAACCCTCAGCCCTAAACCGGACATTAAAATGAGCTGTAACAACCCTAGACTTACCAGGTTGGATTATCCGACTTCCGGAGTTCTGCCCATTGCCTTGGGCCCGGAGGGCTCTGCGGAGTGCAGTTGGCTTCAGGCCGCGACGGGACTTTGAACGGGGATCTTTTTTTCGGGGTTTAGGTTTAGGGTTAAGGGGGCTTCGGGTTGAGGGGTCCAGGGCTTAAGGGGTTTAGGGTGTTCAGAGAAGGAGGGGTTTAGGGTTCGCGGGTTCAGGTTTTGGAGTCGAGGAGTTTCGGGACAGCTTTGCTGAGTTTTCTGTCAAAAAAGAGTTTCGGGTTTAGGGTCTTGAAGAGGGCTACTGCAAGGTTTACTACAAGGTTTGCTGGTTGTAAGTTAGGACTTGGGGTTCCTTACTATAAGGGTTTGGAGGGTAGCATAAGGGCTCCCTCACGGGTGCCATATGGCTACAGGGTTTGGTTTACGGGTTCGGCATGGGAGCTGTAGGGCCATGAAACCTTTTGGGAACCCTCTCAGGCCCCTAAGAACCAACGTAAGGGCCTGAAGAAGCAGTTATGTGATTTCTCGTGGCTTCCTTCTCATTTTTGTTACCAAAATGTTGAAAGATAGCCCAACACCAAAATCGAATCTAACTACTAGATCACCCTATACGAAACCCCTGAAGACGCAAATCCTTTCGCCTCCAAAATCCCTGAAGCCTAATCTAAAGTGTTTTCGTGCTTGGGACTGTGCGGTGGCAGGCGCAGTTCGCAGCAAAGCTCGTGAAGAAGGACCTACGCTTTTGGGAACACTTTAGGCCTGAGGAGTTCTCGGTCATCGGCTTTTGGGTTAGGCAAGGGTAGAGGCTTTGGGAACTAGGCACTCGAAAGTGGATTTATGTTGGGGCTCGTGGTTTGGAGTTCCTTTGGCGGGGAAGCTCCGGGCCCCTAAGCGCAAAGACCCTAAAACCTAAACCCCAGCCCCACAACGCCCCAAACCATCAGCCTCAGACTAGCCCAAAGCTATTGGCAGGAGTACCTCTGCCTCGCCTTGGGGCCATTCCTTGGTGAGGTCTCCGGGGTTGGGGGTTGAGGGATGCAGGGGTTCAGGGGTTTAGGCTTGAAGGTACAAGGCTTCGGGTTTCATGCTTAGGGTTTAAGCTTGGGGAGTTTCGGGTTCGAGTCTTCAAGGGCTTGAGGGCTTATGCACCGAGCTTCCAGTTTGAGATTTGGGTTGAGTTGCCAAGCATAAACCAACGACGGCAATGGCCCTTCGACCGAACATCCTTGACATTCACAGTGGGGATCGTTTTCCCGGGGACGCCTTTCGTACAGGCCGGATTCAACATCATCCCGTTGGTAAAGCCAGGCATAACTATAGTACAATGTGATATTCCGCAAACCCTACTCTAACAATCAAGGTGATTGTATTTTAGACATAAAACTAGACTTCTAGATCCCTTACAAGGTGAGTAAACAGACCTAAAAGCCTTCTGCATCCCTTACAGAAACTTAACGCGCCCCGCATTTCGTGGATCCCCTCGGCTCGCAGGTTGGCGACGAGGGGGCCATCACTAAGCCCCTGCGGACGGTGGGCGTGGGCTCGCTGAGGACGGAGGCCTGGACTTGGGTTTGTGGCCTTTTGGGTTTATGGGTTTATATAGGGGTCTAGGTTTAGGGTTTAAGAGTTTAGGGTTTAGGGACTTGGGTTTATGGTTTCGGGTTTAGGGGTGTAGGGGTTTATATAGGGGTCTAGGTTTAGGGTGTTTGAGGGTTCAGGGTTTGGGGACTTGGGTTTTATGTTTTCGGGTTTAGGGTTTAAGGGTTTAAGGGTTTGGGGACTTGGGAAGTTTCCTGGTTTCTTGGAGACTCACCATGAGACTCTTAGCCTTAAATCCTTCTGGCCTAGAACCCTAAACACGAAACCCGGGCTTGTCATAAGCGTTCCCATCACAGGCCCTACATAAGCATGTGGTATCATAAGTCTGCACGCCTTGCGGGAGTTCTGTCAGCCTCTACTTTTGCTGAGATCAAAACCCAGAAAGACGGGGTCCCTGAGTGTTATGATTGGTTCAGGGTTGCGGGCTTCTATTTGTAGACTATTCCGAGATTAAGGGCTTCAAGCGAATCCCAGACTGTCGATCTTACACCACGATGCTTGAATGCAACATCTGTGCATCCCGAACCCGGATTTTCAGAAAATCCGAAGTCCTCGAACTAGCAACCCCTGAACCTCAACCTGAACGCAAAACCCTGATTCCTGCAACCTACACGAACCTGAAGCCCAAGCCACCCCGAAACCCTGAAGCCACTGAACGCAGAAACCCTCAGCCCTTAAACCCTGAGGCCTATACACCTTCAGCCTACTGGAGGCTTACAGTACCCGTTTTGATGCCTTATAAACTCTTATAGAGCATTACCAAACCCGAAAGCCGCCACAGAACCCTGCGCACACAAGCCGCAGTCTCCGGACTAGCAGGTGTCTCCTTCCGGACGCTACGCCCGCACAGGCCAGTCTGAGAAGCCGCGTCCGACCAGATTTGTCGGTCTTTTGTGGGAGTTTCAGCTCGGGGTTTAGGGTTGGGAGTTGATTCGTTACTTCTTAGAGCGCTAGTTTGTTTTTAGAGTTCGGATGCAGGATTTCTCGGGGTGAGGTCCGGCGGCCTCTGTGTCTGGGTTGTATTCAATCGTACAATCTGAAGCCCCAAATGGCCGCAGTAAGCCCCTTCAGCCCCACACTCTGAACCCTAAACGAAAGCTAGGCATATCTAGCCTTAAAGCAAGTGGGCATACTTGGAGGGGCAGGGCACTTAGTAAGTAGGTTATAAGTAGAGTTATAAGTACCCTAGATGGAGCTACCCCAATTATAACCCTACTTATAAACGGCTTACTAAGTCCCCTGCCCCTCCAAGTACCTCTTATGTATCTCTCAAAGAGCCCTAAGTAGCAGGCTACCGGATCCTCCGGCGCTTCGCGGGAGCCGACAGCTCGCTGGAGCCAAAGCTGCTCCTGGCGATGCCCGCCGCCCGGCTGCGTGGAAGCTTTGTTTGTCAACAGCTACATGGGCGGTTATCAAACTTAGGGTCCCTTTTTGGGTACCCTAAATATTCGATGCTGTATTATGTTAAGGATCCAGAAAGGGGCCCTAATTTTGACAACCACCCAACTACATAAAAGAGACACAGATATGCATGCACATATATTTATGGTTTAACGTGTTTTTGTTGAGCTTCAGCCTCTGTACTCAACTTCGGTGCAGCCTTTCAAAAACCTTTGAAGCTCAACAGAACCTGTTCGAGTCAGTTCCTGCCAGGAAACCGGCCGGACCCACCAGAGCCGTGGCTGATTTTCAGAGTTTCTCACATGGTTATGGAATTCTACAGGGTCTTTGAGGTTTCTATGCCTCGGGGTGTCGGGGTTTCGGTTTTAGGGTTGAGGGGGTTCAGCCTTTCGGATTGAGGGTGTCGGCTTTCATGATTTCTGCGCTTTCTCTATGTCTTGGGGCTTTTCGTACTGCTTTCGGATGCTAGAGTGCCATTTCTGATACTCGCTTGGCTTGGAAGGCTTGAGAGCGGGATGCGGAGTGTCCAAAAATGTTCAGGGGTGAAGGGCGGTAGGGCAAGGGGTCAAGAGGTTGTCGCCTGGAGTGTTGCTACTGGCTATATAACTTCCGTTATGCTGAAAATCCAGATTCTCCTGCGAACTGGCGCGCTCGTTGTCTGTTCGGACTTGTCCGGTTGCACCAGGGAATCTGTGGTGTAGGTCCATTGCAACGATACCTTCTAGGAGCATGTTCCATGCTAGCAGACCATGGCCTATCACCTCTATGAAGACATGAGACTTCTGTGAAACAGCTTTGCGGCAAGTGGGGCATGCAGGATTCAGGATATTTTTTGGTTTGATTTTGGTGCATGGAGCCTCCAGTCCCTGGGTTCGGTTGGTCCCTTCTTGTAGGTTCATGGGTAGTTATAAGTAGGGTTATAAGTAGGGTACCTATAAGTTCAACCCATATTTAGGGGACTTTTAACCCCACTTATAACTACCCATGAACCTCCAAGTTGAGTTATCAGCATCGGTTGAAGGCAGCGACAGAACCGTAGTAGACCCCTGCCACCTCTTCTTTCAAAGGATCCGTGTCCATTTGGCCAGCTTGGACCAACCGTTGGTTGGCGACCAGACGTGCCGGGGCCATGAATATTCGGATTTCGAGGTTTGGCGCTGATTTGTAGGAGCGCTTGGGACTAGGTCTCACTTTGACCTACCAGTCCATCTCCCTGGTCCCGACGACAGAATAAGCCGTAGCCGTAGTCCGCAACTCTTTCGGCCATCGCGCACCTGGCTGCAGCATTTTGGCTTGTTTGGCAGAATCCTTGCCTTCCGTGTACGTTTCTGGGTAGCTTCATGCTCATTTTGAAGTTGTCTGTAGTAGCCGAGTGTCAAGAGCTCAAGAACGGAGTCTACCTTCAGTTGAAGATGCAAGACCTGCAGCCATGGCTCGTGCTCGGCAGACGCCATACAAAGTGCTGGTATTTGTCAACTCCGAGTATGGAGACCATTTCCCAAGCCTGCCCGGCACACGCAAAGATGCGGAGGTGCTGGAAAACTGTGAGTTTGTGCAAGGAGCCGCGAGCAAACGGAGATACGACAATTTGAGCGCTGCAGACATGAAGCGCAAACTGCATGCGTGGATGAACACCTGGGAGACCAACGGCAAGGCCATGTTTTTCTATTTCGGGCACGGAATGTATTACGAAGATAGAAACGCACCTTGCACCTTGCATGGTGTCTGCGGACGGCGAACTTGTTGACATCCCGAACATTATCCACCAGATTCAGTCTGTGCTGGCTTCGGTAACGGTGTGTTGCTTCTTCGTGTGTTGTCAAAGCCGAACTTCAAACGCACCAGTGAAGCTCTTCCCGGAGGCTTCGACAGAAAGCCACAAGCTGCGAGTGCAGTATTGCTGTGCCTATCCCTGCAAGCCAGGCCGTGCAATCAGAGACGTGCCGCTGCTGAGTTCGCAACGATGCACTTCATACACACACGCTTTGGCCACGGCGCTTTCGAATTGCGAAACCTTGAAGCAAGCTCTTCACGAGATCTCTAGCAGAAAGTGCGGGGGAGAGCACCCCGGTGTTACGAGCTACATATTGGGTGATCCAATGCTGTGGAGTAATCATGGAGCAAACGTACACACCGAAGTTCACGAGTCCAGGCAGCCACTTAGGCTCAACTGCGGCAACGACGTTCTCGCACTTACTAAGCGAAGGCAAGCACGGCGACGGAGTTGGAGAGACCACACAGGCTGTGTCATGGCCTCAGTGTCTTTCTTGGGTTTCGCTCCTGTAGTTTGGAGGCCTGCTCTTGAACGTCCACGGTTGAGGCCCATAATGGTCCATCACCTATCGTACTGGCGTTACGGATATGCGTGTCGGCCTTGGCGGCCTGAAACGAGAACGGAGAGCCTCTGCTGGGGCATCTCTTACGCCGTGGGTGTGTTAATGGAGAATCTCTAAGTAGCCCCTTCCTCTATAAGGGCCGCTAATACCGAACACGAAGGTGTCAAGGTCGGCCGACTGCCTGAAGCGAAGCGAAAATACATCATGTGGGTAGTTGTCTCTTTTTGGGTACCCTAAACATGAGGTGTCGTATTCTATTAAGGACCCCAAAGGGGACCGTAATTTCGACAACCACCCATGTGCGTCCTGGACTTCGAATCTGTCACATGGGATCTAGAGTGCTTACTCGGACCTCTTCTTGTTTCTCTCCTAGATGCAAGTCCAGGCCCCGGTGCCAGCCCTGCCGCCCAAAGTCCCAACGGCCCCTGAACACTGCACCTGAACCCTAAACCCATCTCATGAGGGATCCTCCGGAGGGCTCCTCGGATTTCCTGAGGAGCTTAAAGTTTCAAGGTTCCTTTGCATGGCAGCGGCCGACGTCTTTTTGAGCTCGTCGAACGCTTTGACCTTCAGCCCTGAGCCTTAAGCCCATTTGGGAGTCTCCGAAAATTAGGGGTACCTTATTCTGGGGTCCCTATAACAAGGATCCTGCGATTTAGGGTACTATATGAGGGTCCCGCATTTTCGGAAACTCCCATTTGAGCCTCACATTTGAGGAATGGATCAAAGCCAAGCACTTACGCACTTTCGTCTGTAAAGCCCGATGCCTCACAGGGTCTGGACTACTGAAGGGCTCCACCTGCTAATTCCCATGATCCTTCAACTGAGACTCTTAGTCCTAAGCCCTAAAACCCTAAACCCTAAACCCTCTTTACGTCTTGAATGCACCGTCTAGAGGTACGGCACCCCGGATTCCGAGAATCTGGGCCGATGTCCGCGGCTGTTTTTGCACTGCCACCGGACCTCTTCGGGATTCCGTTCAGCATTTATTGGGGAGTAGGGTTCAGGGTTTAGTTGGGGCTTTGTTGTTTTTTGTTATTTCTCTAGTTTTTGGTGCTTTTGTGATTGCTTAAGGGCGGGTTTGTGCTAGCTTTGATTGCAGGGTTTGGGGCTTGGGGGGCCAGGAGGACCTTTGCGGGTTTTGGGCTTTGGTGCGTGTCTGTTGTTGCGGGTTTCACGGCTTTCGTGACTCGTCGTTGTCGGTCTTGAGTTCTGGGCTTCAGGGATTGAAGTTGTAAGGTTTGGGAGCTTCCAAGGTTTCATGGTTTTCAGATTTGAGGTTTGGAGATTACGGGTTGGGGTTTAGGGTTTTGAGGGTCTGGGGTTTCAACGTTCATTGCTTTTTGTGCTTTTTCGGGCTTTCGGTTTCAGCGTTCCAGGTTTGCAGGACATGATTCCTTCGGGTTCCCGCCTTCATAAACTGTAAACTCTAGCACCACGGCCACATATCCTACAGTCCTACACCCTGAAATACCTGAAGCATGCCTCAACCCAGCCCCAGTTCCTACATCTTACATAAAGCCCTCAAGACGCCAACACCGTCAAACTCTCTCAGTCCTTAGAAGCGCCACGCCCATCCCGTATTCTGTCTATAACTTCAGAAGCCCCGATAAACAAAAGCCCTGGGAGGATCTTTAGACCTTAAATGCACATGAAGCCCCCCAGTAGTACTCTTTTCGAACCCCTAGCGGAACCTCTGACTTACCCTTTGAGGAACCTTCTAAACAAAGCCCTCGGAGCCCTACACCCTAAACCCTAAACCCTTTAAGGAACCTTCTAAACAAAAGCGCTCGGAGCCCTAAACCCTAAACCAACAGCCCTGGGAGGATCCAGCTTTGCGACCTCTCCGGCCAAAGTCTGCTGGCAGAGGCCCCGCTGCCGCCTGAGCTCCAGGAGGTGCTGGAGGGCCTCGAGCCCTCCGCTGGACCCAAAAAAGGATCGCTGTCTGGTCTAGAGCCTGCATTGGGTTTAGGGTTTAGGGATTAGGGTTTAGTGATTAGGGTTCAGGGATTAGGGATTAGGGTTTAGGGTTTAGGGATTAGGGTTTAGGAGTTTCAGGTTGGGGGGGTTTGGAGGTTTGGAGCTTAGGGCCAGTGGTCCACAGGGGGCTAGGCTTTAGGGTTTAGAGGCTGCGAGGCTCCAAGGCAGCTTCGAATATAGATCGTCGAAGGAGGTGCCGGGCTTTGGAGGCCGTTTAGTCTTTAAGGGTCCTGGCCTTAGGGGTTCCGCTTCTAGGGGGTTCTCGGATTTACTGCTGAGGGTTTCGACTTCTGAGGGTTTTGAGGGTTAGCGATTCAGGGTTTCAGGGTTGTGGAAGGCCGCGCTGAGCGTGCGTGTTCGGAGACTGGTTTAGTGACTCCTTCAATCGTCTTGCTACTGTCTCGTCTATCGACTCAGAACATGTCTTCGCGGAAAAAGCAGAAGGAAAACGCGGCTAGAAGTGCAAACAGGCAGGGTCTTTGGGTCGATACTTTTTGGGCTGAATGTTCGAAGTATATGGAGGATTCAGTGCCCATTTTTGGGCCCAGAGACGCCGAGATCCTTCCACTAGGAGTTCCTTGCTCAGGATCTTTCAAGGACTAGCAGGAACGGTTGATGATATAAATCCTGCATTACCTTAGTTACCCTAAACTATGGGAGTTATGGTATATTCCTCATCAACCGGAATCACAGTCTGTGGATTAGGACGGTTCGAGGATTCTGTTTGTTGCCGTTTGGGTTCCGGGCGGAGTGCTGCTGCGGAAGTCACGACCCGTGATCCTCACAGCCCAGCCGATCTCGGCTACTCTAGGGCCCCCAAAAAGCACATAAGCAAAAATTAGGATAGGGATATCCCATATAAACCCCCTTCAAAGGAAGCCCAATAAGGTAGGGATATCCCGGTAAAATGCTTATGCTTACGTGCTTTTTGGGTCCCTAATACTCGACGACCCAACCCTGAACCATAAGCTGCACGACGACAACCCAAAAGTCTCGAAGCCCAAACTCCGAACCCTTGAATCCTAACCTCTAAACCTTATCCTGCAGATCCTAAACTCTAAATCTTAACACTGAAAGAAGACAGCGAAGCGATGGTGTCTTCCTGCGCTGTGTGCGCTGCAAGGCCCGTGACTCACTGCATTGAACCCTTGATGAGGCCGTAAACCCTTCCTAAACCCTTAATGCTAAACTCTAAACCTGAAGCCACAGTGGGGCCGTCGTGAGTTGTCATTGGGGCTAACTTGAGCAGGTTTTTCGAAGGCAGGACTTTCACAAACTTGTTCCACTATAAATGTCAATAAATGTCCTCATGCAAAAACTCCCCATCAAACGCCCATTACTGAAGGCCCTATACAGCCATTCCAAAAGCCTTGCGAAGTGAGTCGCCGATGCACAGCTGTCTGGCTTCAAGCAAAGCTCTAGCAGTTCCTCCGCAACGCTGCTGTTTAGGGAATGGATATCGCGCTTCAAGAAGCGCCTCCCGCCAATGGAAGGACGAGGGCCGTTGTCGTTGCCGCGTTGGTGATGGGGTTGACGATCGGTCTGCAAGTCCTGCTGGTGTCCTTCCTGAGCACATCCACGCCCTATGAGAACACGCCTTGCCCGATCCTGCACGAATTTCTTCCATTCGTGGATGAGCGTCTCTTCCTAGGCATCAAGCTGGTGACGCTGGTTGGTATCCAGCTGATTGTGATGCTTGGCTCTTGTTAAGTAACTGATGCGCTTTTCTACAACTCCCTACAGTGGTAGCTTCAGATATTTCAGTTCCTCAAGAAGAGCACTGGACCCAAAGTAGAACCGAGGATCGGCCTCTCCGGGAAGATTTCTCAAAGTCCTGTTGCAGGACTTCTGATGCCGCCTTACCGAGAGGCTCATGGCACTCCTATGTCTTTGCGAGTGTTATCGCCGTGTGTGCGACTGGGCTCTTCTTTGGGACTTCAGTTTAAGCCATACCCAATAGCCTGGCGCTTTTGCAGTGTTTTGGCGGGAACTTACCACGATTAGGGTAATATGCTGAATGAATACTACGCTTTCTGGTCATGTCAATCTAAACTACTATAGGAACTATAGGGGCTTAAACGATTACCAACACTATTGCTAGGGTTCCTTTTCATAGTTATAGTAAAATCTGCCCCAAGACCCTATTCCAATTATCAAGGGCCCTATGTCGGGATCCTTGAAATGTGGAGGTGATCACGGCTGCTTGGCATATCTGGAACTTCACCCGAGATTTCAGACACCGGCCAACCATGGACCGCGTCGAGCGTTCATTGAACGCGGTCCAGCACCTGTTCTTCGGCTTCGTGCAGTGGATCTTGCTTGCTTACGTCAACGAGGTGCTCCGGAGACAGCCGGAGGGCGGATGCCGACTGGGATTCCGAAGAGTATGGTCCTTTTTGCTCGCTGGCTTCATCACTCTGCTCCTTCGAGTTTTCGTCGTCCCCTTAGCAAACCTGGATCCCGTATGTTCCCTGTTCATGAGGCGGGCTTCCTGAAAAGCTTCTTGCATCAAACTGTCTCCGGGTAGCGCCAGGGCTCGTGCCGCTTTCGACAAGACTTCCTGCTTTCCATGGAGTCTCGTATCCACCCAGCACTTCAATCACACCAAGTGATCGTTCTGGAAAGGAAGTCGTGCTCCAGCCACAGTGCTGTGCACGTTCTGGCTTTGCAGATGCGTCAAGAGTGCAAAGCCATAGCAAAGGCTCTGAGATCTTCCAAGCGGTCTGCTGCTCAACGCTTTTTTTGACAGTTGTTCAGTTTTCCAAAGTCTCTGGTGAACGCTGTTGTGCATAGTCGCCCCATCGTGGTCTTGAAGCGGTCCTTGACAAGTCACTAGTCTTCTGGAGTTGTCCTACCATCTTTCATTTTCTCCAGTATACATTCGAGGGGTTTGACGGTGTCGTGGCAGGTTGGCAGCCCAAGTATGCACGCTGGTCGGCGAGATCATGGCGTACCGCACGCTCACACAGATTCAGCTGCAGACAGAGACAGACTTCAAGGCGTTTCGACGTCAGTTTGTCAACACCCTCTGTGTGCTGATGTACATCAACCTGACCGAGATTTTGGAGCAGCTTGTTCTCTTGATCAGGCATCGGTACGGCCATTCCGGTGCAGAAGTGGAGTTCTTTGATGCAGAGATCTCTATCTTCCAGTACTTCATCAGTGAGACCTTGCCGCTCTTGGTCATGATCTTCAATACCCCGGACTGGAGAGCACGACACAGACCCAACAGCGGGCTTTGGTTGACCACGACATCCCCATGGGTGGTCAAGGGATTTCTGTGGCTGGGGTGGTGGCAGTTCTTCCTTTGGGGCGTACATATGAGCTGCCACCCAAAAGTGGCGTCCAAGGCCTTGGACGGAGGCATTCTCTTCGTCTTGGCCAGAGCTTCTGCGGCAAGCATCTACTTCGACTTGATCGTCCTGTTTTTTACCATCTGGCCTGGAGTGAAGCTTGTGCTTCAGTCTTGCATAGGCATAGGCATGTCAACGGGCTTCACGACACTTCACATGATGATTGGAAAGCGCATTCTTATTTGTGCGAGCGTGCATGCAGTGTCGCACGTCGTGTGGGTTCTCGTCGATGGGTTCGCCGATGGCGAATCAGTGTACTCCCGCATAGTTTGGGATGGAAAGGTCCTGCTGCCGGAAGTACCCTTCCTCACTGGCACTATGATGTTGGCAGCTTTCGTGCTTGCCTACTTAGCCCATGTATGTTGCAAGCAGCGCAGCTACGACACCTTCCGATCCTCGGTAGGTCTTTAGGACATTTTCTTCCCTTGTTGGGCCTAAGAGGATCTTACTTACGAGCAGTTTTCACATGCTTTTCAGGACCAACCTAGGATCTATCCATCGAACATCGGCGGGTGTTGTGCTTGTCCTGGGCATCTTCCACAGCCTTACTGGAGTGCTCGGGGCGCCAGCGTTGTTTGCGTCTTGGTCGCTGCAAAAACTCATGTTGAATGTTTGTGCTAGTATTGGGATTCAGGGTTTGGGGTTTAGGGTTTCGGGATTACGACACTTTAAGCCCGATACATAGAGCCGCTAACTGTTTTGGCTGTACTTCAGCCACGATGCAGGTATTCTGTTTGGTGCTCCTTTGCATGTGGCTTCTGGATTCTCGTGGATGCCTTAGTGGATTTCGATGTGGCCCATGGTGGTGTCCGAAGAGTCGAGAAAGCATGCGCAAAACCCTAAACCCTCCAACATGCAAAGATATCTGCAGTATGGAGGGTTCGGGTGTCAGGAATCTCCAAAACAAAGAATTCGGAAGGAGGTTACCTTCTACCCTAAACCAGCTGCGTGGATTCGGTCCAGGTTTCTGTTATGGTACTTCTGAGGCTGGCCTCCCCCAGAAATCCTACGATGAGTGGAGTGTTCTCAGCGGGCTTCTCCAATGTTCCAAAGATTTCCAAAGCCAACGTAGTGTCATGTCGTTTTATGAAACGCGATCGTGTAGTCGCTATAAATAGCGAAAACATGGAAGTCCCTAATGTTCCAAAGCGAACACGGTTTCATTTCGCGGAAAAAATGAAACACGCGCGAAAGTAGATAGGAGTAAGCAAAAAAGCAAGGACCTTCCCAATGTTCCAAAGCTAATGCGGTGTCATTTCGTGTTATGAAGCGCGATCGCCGGCATGGAACGTGGAAAACAATGGAACATTAGCGTGGCAGTTTTAGAAGTGTGGGGTCTGGGGCTAGGGTTTAGGTCTTTAGGGGAAAGAATGGTAGTCTACCTTTCGTCTGTATACAACCGAAAACAGGGAGAACAACCTCTCAATACGAAAAGTTCACCCGAAACCCAACTTCAGACAGCCCACTCAGGTCTAACGGTTTGCAGGCACCTGCCGGCAAGGTATGTTCACTTCTGTGGGGATGGGGATGATCAGACGATGGTTCTCGTCTTGGAACTTTGTGGAGGGCTCCAGACGTACATGGGTTACGTGCAGATCGAGGTGCCCGGGATTCCTGGTTGGCATCCATTTACCGTGGTGGTTCACGCAAACGGGACGCAAGAGCTTCACATCAACCTCAAAGCCAGGAGGGAAGGCTCGTACGTGAATTGGGCGTGGAAGGTGGAGCGGGAGGTGGCTTGGAGGACTTTGCATCCGGGGGACATGGAAGTTCATGTTGCAGGCGCGTTCCCTACGGTGCTGGGCAACCGAGACTTGTACAGATCCTTTGAGCGAGTGGTCTTCATCAGTGGTGGGACTGGTTTCACGGGATGCCAGCAAGGCTTGTTCGCGATGCACAGCAATCTCGGGCAGGACCTTGGCAATCGCGTCGCGTTCTTCTGGCGGGGAAAGCAAACCATGCGCTACCACGATGAAAAGATAGGCCCTTGTTGCCAGGAGTTTGGTGTGAGAAGCGAAAACTTGAGTCGTTACAGCCGTGATCAATTTTGGCAAACCGTGTCGGATCGAGTTCAGCAGTTCAATCGCGACATGGGCAACGATGACAAGGTGTTGGTCTGTGTCTGTGGGGATTCTTCGCTCTTTGCTGCGGCAAGCCAGATGTTCGAAAGCAGAAACCGTGTGGCAGGAGACCATTTCGATTAGTACTCGGGTCGGTACTGCTAGTGATATTAGTAACTGTTTTCCCTTATGGTCTAAGGCCCTTCAATGTTTGTAGCCAAGCGAGATCTGCTGTTTCTGCAAATACCGGCTCCTCCAAAGCCTGCACTGGTAGTGCGGCAGAGGGTGAGTTCGGGTTTGTAGGTTTTGGGCTTGTTTGAAACTGATGCAGCGGGAAGGTATAGGTTTTCGAGTGGAAGTGTTATCAATTTTCACGACGTGTTCGGTGCTTTCCGCCGCTGTGCAGTAGTATTATGATGGCGAACGCACATGGGCATCGCCATGCAGCAACTTAATTCAAAGTCGCCGAAGCCATCCGTGCTTTGTGTTCGTTGCCACAGCCGGGCAACTTCCGGTTTGCGGTAACTTCGCCACCATTGCCTCAGCTAAACCCTCAATCCCAAGCCCTGCTACGTCTGAGATTTAAGTTTACTATTCTCACGTCATGGTTTCTGGAGTTTGCGATGGCACAATGCTAAACGCTCAGCTAAATATGAGACTTCCTTACCATCCGGGTGTCATGATTTTGCGATACTCCTGCATGCTTGGAGCGGCATGGAAATTACTTTGTCGGTTCCGGTAGCGAGTGCCAGCGGCAAGAGTGTTGTATTTCGCAGTCGTCGCGTTATGTTTACTTGGCTATACGACTATTATGTGTAGTATTGCTAGCATCAGCCGGCAATGGCTTTCGGCACAGTGTTGCAGACGTCGGTGAAGCATTCCTATTGGAGCAGGTGGGCAGTATAGATTTTCGGAGTTTACCATTAGGTTTCGGAGTGTAGCCCCGGTGCTCGACTGGAAGGCTCAACCAGGAGGCCACATGAAGTCGGATGAGGCGACACGGAGAAAACAAGCCACGATGCTCCACCGAAAGCCGACTGCTCAAAGCCATCAAGCTCCAGCCGGACTCACATCGAAGCTCTAAGGCATGAGAGGCACCACTGTCCTGCCCTGACCGTCGCATACCCTGAAGAGTGTTGCCGTTCTTGTTCCCATCATCATCATTATCCTCATCATTCCCACCATCACCATCACGATCATAATCTATCGTTATCATTCTTATTATCATTGTCATTATCATTCCATTCTCGTTCTCAGTATCAGAATCGTCGTAATACCAATCATCATCTTCATCGTCATCACCATCAGCATCAGTTATAGGCCGGGATGCAGTTTGCGTGGGAAAGGTCCCAGGCTTTGGGCTTCGGCTTTGGTTGTACAATAATTAGAATAGGGCTTGGTGGTATATTATACTATAAGTGTAATGCCTATTCTAATTATTGGGGCCCTTACACTACTGTAGGGTTTATGGTTTGGGTTTAGGGATTTGGGTTTTGGGTCTAGGGACTTTAGCCAAAACCCCCAAACCCAGAATCCTGCAGGCCTCAAGAACGGCGAGGCCCAGCTCAGGGGCCCGGCTGCTGCAGAAACTTGGCCGTGGATCACTGGAAACTGCAGTTTGCGGAGGGAGGCGTTGGCTGCGGTTTGGGGTTTCGGGTTTTCTGTAGGGGCCTAAATGAGTACCTAGAGTATTATGGGCCCCAAAACCCTATTCTATTTAATCTATTTATTAAGGCTCCTACAGGGGAGTTTCCGAAAATGAGGGTACCTTATTCTGGGGTCCTCATAATAAGGATTTCACTATGTGAGGTATTATATTAGGGTCCCCCATTTTCGGAAACTCCTATATTAGGGTTTCGGAACCCATCAAGGTCGGTCTCCTGTGTGGCACGTCTTGCCAACTTGCACAAACAGGGAGTCAACAGAGTCTGAGTATTGTAGTGAGTCCTTTCGGGAAAGTTGCGTGTCGAGCATAACGGGCGAGTCGTGACGAGAGTGGCCAGTGAACCAAGAAAATTATGTCCCTGTTGTTTCTTTTGGTAGTTTCCCAAAATGAATGTTTCCTTGCGGGGTCAAAAGGGGGAGGGGCAAGGTTCAACGTGGCAGGGCCGAGGATTCACGGGTTTCTGGCGTTGTGTTTTCAGCACGGCCTTGTTTCAAAAGTTTCAGACCATCAGCGACAGGTGCTCATGTTTTTGTGTTTGCGATTCGTGGTTGTTCGTCGCGAAGTTGACTCATGATCCAGTAGCAGGTGTTGGAAACTCCAGAGTGGCATGTTGTTGTGGGTGCAATGCCAATCCACGTATTTCTGGCTGCTTTGACAGCGGTCGCCGCTGTGAGAGGTGCAAAACAGGCATCTTCCAATGGAGCAACTCCAGGCTATAAATCATGCGATGATGAGCGCGCAGTCTGTGAAGGCGCGTCCAGCTTGGTGTCCCTGAACTGGGGAATGTTCGGAAGGCGTGACCATCACGTCACTTCCTCACCTAGCTCCTCGACGACCTCGGTGGCTACCCTTGCTCCCACCTCTGCTCCTACCACACAATCAATACACTTGACGACCAGTTTTCAAGTTATTGCAGAACAGATGTCCAAGGCCAAGTGGGACAAAATGTCATGGGGTCCGCCCGATGCAAACGGCAAGCGTGCCACTTTCGCACTAGGCGGCGCCATGATCAACGGCCTGCTGTACATTGCGGCTTTTGTCCAGGGGTCGGTGGATGGTCAGGACAACTGGGTCGACTTCGCAAAGGGCATAGGCACCTGCCTCGGGCAGGCGGCCATGGAAATTCCTGATGTCGGTCCTTTTCTGAGCCTTGCGATCACCTTCGGTTTGTCCCTCTTTGGAGGCTCTTCCAACGTTATGCAAGCGGCTTTTGAAAAGCTGTACGAGACCATCATGAAGAATGTGCGAAAGCTCATCACAATGCAAGAGGTGAAAGAAGCCATGCAAACCACTGAAGACAGACTGGGCAATCTGATGAAGCTGCTGTACAACATACCAATAGACATCGGACAGATTGCTGGCGTCCCAGGCACAGAAGCAGATAAGGAAAACCAGTACTGGCATGCCTTGAATCTCAAGCTTCAGTTCTTCGAGGGCTCGAATGCCCAAATCTTTGGAGCTCAGGTGGGCTGTGTCGGGTCAGACGGCACGACGCCCCTGCAGCCCAGTGATCAGATTCAGACTACGGATATTTCGAAGCTCACCGAGTGCCAACAGTACTGGGCCCATGGTGCTTTCCTGCCTCAGCTCCATTTCGTGATGATGCATCTGCACCTCAGGGCCCAAATGGCCTTCCTGGCTTCGGATGCAGCGGCGAAAAGGCAACAGCTGCAACGGCTACGCGAAGTGGCTGGAGTGTATGTTCCACTGCTAAAGGATTCGTATAATGGCTTGCTCATTTGGACAGAAGGGGACGTTGGGCAATGTCATTGGAAGTACCCTGCAAACTGGTCGGAGGTTTGTCCGCAATTCAATCCGAACACAGGGCAGTGGTGCCAAGGGCCGTTCGATGACCTATATTTTCCGCCTGCGATGTTTCAAGCTAATCCAGATGTAAGCTGCCTCACAGGTTGCAAGAGCTTCAGGGAATCTGAACACCCTTATTCCAACGCCGAAAACTTCTGCTCGGTACAACAGCAAGGTCGGGGTGCTGCGACGCTGGGTCCCTGGGATCTCTGCAGCGAAAAAGATATTGGGTTGGCCACACGCATCAAGACCGCAGAGCTCAAAGCAATGTTCCACCCAATTCTTGAGAAGTTGGAGAAGTTCGCAGAGAACAAACTTGGATACACTTCGTCCGAACTTCTGGACTGGATCCAGAATCATGCGCAGGCACCCGTGTCTACGCCAGCCGGTGAGGCCGGAAACTTCTGCGAGAAGTTCTGTTTTTCAATCCATGACACCATGACCGAGGCGAAGGGCAAGAGTTTGGATCAGGCAAGGGTTTTGTATGACAAGCTCCATTGCTCAGAAACCTGCTTGAAAGCGAGTGCGCCAGTGGACACGAGGTGCAGTTGCAGAACGGACGCATGCCCAATCATTCTTGCTAACTTTAGCAGGTCTTTAAACGAATCTTTCGATGCCGGGGACTGGTGGCAGACGTTCTTCTTCCCAACGATCGAGGAACCGGGGTGGGCTCAAACCTGCAACCAGTCTTGCAATGCGTTCCCGCAGCAGATAGTTCCGTCGCCCTGAGCAACCTGGAAACGAGCGGCTTGCTTTCGACCGACCGGTGGCTTGCCGCTGGACCGCTACGGCTTGAAACGCATCAGGCTGCAGATTGCAAAATGAATGGTTTGTGCGTCTCTGTGTTCGGTGCGAAGCTCACTTTGAGCACCTCGATCAGGTCCGGATTTGGAAGGCTGAGTGCAAGAAAGCCCACCCGGTAGTTCTGCCTGGCTTGGTGATTAGTCGCACTGCAGTCGCCTATTCCTACGCCCTGAAGCCTAAAACCCAAACCTGTATGCGTTTGCCGCTGCAGTGCAAAGGACAGCGCCGGGCTGGAAGAGAGTCTGCGGCGGCTGAGGGCCTAAACCCTAAGCCCTACACCCTGAACCCTAAGCTCTAAACCCTACACCCAAAACCTGCACATGGAACCTTGAACTCTGCACCCTGTACCAAAAGCCCTACACTCTGAACCTTAAACTCTAAACCCTAAAGCCCCAATCCCAAAGCCCTACGCTGCACCGACAGTGCCGTTCCGCTGTCGGAAAACGTGGTGCAACATCCACGGGCCACGGGTGCCAATGGATTTCCTTTCAAGAATGCAGCGGTTTTGTTTTAGGGTCTAGCGTGGTAGGGTTTAGGGTTGAACTCCAAAACCCTCAACCTTAATAAAATCCCCTTAACCCTAAACCCTTGAAGCCTTAAGCCCTAAACCCTTTAAGCCCTAAACCCACGAAGCCCTAGACCCTAAGTTCCCCCAACCCCAAACCTCGGCTTGACACCGTAAGAGATTCACAGAGTTTCATTCAGATCCTGGAGCGCCCCGGCCAGGTGCATGCCGGTTTAGGATTCATGAAATAGGGTTTAGGGGGTTTAGGGTTTTGGACTCAGGAAATAGGGTTTAGGGTGTTTAGGGTTTAGGATGCAGGGAACAGTGCCCAGGGCATACTGTGCGGTTTCGGGTTTGGGGTTTAGGGCTTAAGGGTTTATGACAGTTTTTGCTTCAAACTATTGGTTTCCGACAGCCTTGTGGGCCTGCGAGTAGCTAGGAAGCCACTCGGAAGCCTTTTGCGGGCCTGCGAGAAGTTAGGCACTCCATACCTAACTCCGGGAGCCACTCGGAAGCCTTTTGCGGCCCTGCGAGTGGCTAGGAAGCCACTGCGGTGCTTGCCAGTGTTGGTGGGCTTCGCAAGCGGGCGTGGGGGCCGCTGTGCTCCCTGAGCGGCTGGTGCCGCTGCTGTGGTGTTGCGGCGGGGCCCGCCTCCGAGCTGGTGGGGAAGGCGGCGGCTGACGCTGTGGCGGGCGACGCCGGCTCCTTTGGGGGGAGGATCCCCCGTTTCGTTTTCATCTCGCCCTTCTGATCCCCCGTTTCGTTTTCATCCCCGCTTCGTCTTATCCCGGTTCGCTTTCACCCCCGCGCCTTCCCCCGGTATCGCTCCTTCGCGTTTTGAACCTAAACGAGAACCCAACATCCGAGATGTTTTTGGGAAGAACCTCAACCTTTCCACTTTTTCGGCCCGGCCCAAATCGGCGCAGTCCTGGCTCACACGGCTCAGCACGTGAAGGAAGCACAGCGAGCAGCCCAGGTTGCGCATTCACTGGGAAAAAGAAGCGTGCCTGATGGGGTGAAAGGGAAGGCTTCCATGGGTGGGTGGAATGGGGGTGCCCGCACAATTAAATCAAAGCAACCAGACCCCAGCTACACTCTAAAATTTTGCACCACACGTAACTTTTTCACACATCATTTCGTGTGCAAGGACATGACAACTTGCTAAGAATCAACCAGGAATAACTCTCTGTAGAATGGTAAACCAGCTTGAACTCAACGTTGACACGTCATGCCACTAAGAAAGGGCGACATCCCAGACGATTATTCTAAAGTGAACTCATGAATTCACAGTGAAAAGACATGTCATTTCTATATTTCCCTGAAACGCACGCCGTTTTCGGACAGATCTCCGCCTACTTCCCTGTCAGGTGAACCGGCCTTGTTTCTTTAGAATCTAACTCTGGTGTAGCACCCCTCGACCCTCAGTATAAACCAAAAGACGGGCTGCCAGAATTCTATGCCAAATTTCATGCAAACGGTTCCAAATCTTTGTATAAAATCCTGACTAATGAACAAGCTTTCACCGATGTTCTCGCTTGTAAAATGACTGTTCATGATTTTGTACACACGCGTTTGTGGGTCGACCTTCTGGCCTTGCCCAATTCGGAGGAGCTGAGCACGAAGGACTCCGTGAGGTTCTCGGTGAGGGCTGTCATGTTGCTGGAGTCTCTGGAGCTGGAGATCCACACCTGCACCACGTCCATCTCCAGCTCGCCTTCCAGCTGATGCTCCACATACGCCACGGAGCCATAGACATAGACGGCCGGGTCATTCTTGGTCTCATATGCGGCATCGTAGAAGTGCACGCTGGAGTGGAAAGGGCCGAGCAGGAAGGTCTTTTCGTTGATTTGGTGCGAACCTCATGGCCATGGCCAGGAACAGAGCAAGAAACAAAGCCATAAAGCCCCAAGTTTTGACCAGACTCCCGCCTGTCGCCACATAGCCTGTGTACACCCCCGTTGCAGTGCGCGTGAAGTTCAGCTGCACGGGCATCACCATTTTAGCCACTGTGGAATCGCTTGCTCCGACCATCACGACAAAGAGTGCAGCATATCCAGAACGTTGAATGAGCTCTCCAGATTGGGTCTCGTTCAGCAGGCACTTGTCATCAAAGTCTGCGTACGTCAACTCCGCAACCAGCTGCTCCTGGTTGTTGTACACACTCCGACGCCACTGCGAGCTGCAGAGCGTGCCCGGTTGCAAGGAGTCAGGTGTCGGCGCCAGGTCCATGAAATAGCGCGGCAGCGTGGCGACGCCGTGAAAGTGGCTTGGAAGCAAAGCTGAGGTCACCATCAACTGGATACTCCCGGCGAGGTTTCGCACAATCGCCAAGTCTGGAGGCGGGAGTGCTTGGATCCAAGGTCCCAGAAGCGGGGCACAGGACGTCATGCCCGCGTCCGAGTAGGTGTCTTCCTCGCAGGCCACGCAATCGTCCATGTCCGTCTCCGGGTTCGCATCGTACGTGCCAGCGGGACACTCCGAGCAGTCGGTTCCATTGAAGACATGCCCAGCAACGCAAAGCGATGTGGTGGGGAGCTCCGCTTTCCAAGTGTCACTCAATTCATTTTGGTCCCCATCCTGGCCACAGCACATCAGCAGGGTTCCTGGAGCACGCCACACCGCCTGTGGTGACCTACGGGCAGGGGGGGCATCGAACGTGCCATCATGCAAGGTGCTCCATTGGCCATGAGCCACATCGAACTGGTACAGAACCCCCGAGTACTGGTTACTTGCGAGGTAACCACCATAGATGATCAGCTGGTCCTCAATCTCACTGTAAGCCATGCCGGCTTGGTTCAGAGCCGGGGGAGCATTTGATGCGGACAGTTGGCTCCAGGTATTTGCAGCGAATGCATAGCTCCAAAGGTCGTTCAGAAAGAGGTTGTCATTGCAACCGACATCAAATCTTCTGCCGCCGAAGATGAACATGAGGTTGCGGCGTTTGGAGACCGCGCTGGCGTGGTGCCGGCGCTCGACAGGACTGCCCGTGGAGGGCTGCATTTGTTGCCACGCCAGGTTGGTCAAATTCAGGGACCATAGGGCATTGGAAACTTGGCTGCAGTCGCCCTCGAGATATCCCCCGAAGATGAAGACGGCGCTTTGATCAGGCGCAGCTTCCATGCTATGACCATAGCGAGATGTTGGGTTCAGCTCGTCTCGAGTGCTGAAGGTCACCTGTGCCCACATCCGCGTAGCGGGAGTGAATTGCCTCATGTCCTTAAGAGGTGTGATGGTAGCTCCTCTTCGCCTCCTTCCAGCATCATGATGCCCCCCGTGGACAAGTAACTTCTTCCCAGAGGATGCCGCCGCATGCCCATACCTGGATTCCGGCATGGGCCCTGACGTTGACAGCAAGCTCCAGCCGGACGCGGCGAATTGCCACACGTCCGAGAAGGAGATCCCTCCATCTCCGACACGTGCTCCTTCGTTGTCCCACCCAGCGAAGAGCAGTGAGCCGTGGTCCTCGATATTGGTGAAGCTAGCGAGCAGCCGCGCTCCTGGGCCTCCACCGCCCACCTGAACATTCTTGGAGGGTCCATGTCTACTCATATGTTTGACTTGTAACCGATGACAACCCTGGTAACTTAGGGTATGAACCCCAGGAACTAACTCCAACAAACTCCAACAACCATGGGGAATAGGTGGCTACATACTAAGTAACATTGACCATCAATTCTTCGTGACCAAGAAGTTGAAAACAACGACTCACTCGACACGCCGCGCCTCGTTCCAGGACACCGAGTCAGAAACCGCCAAGAGAGCTGCAAGCAAAGCCAGCAAATGCATCCCTGCCGACGCCATTCGTGGGTAGATTCGACAGTAAATCGGACCGGCCTCAGCAAACAGTCAGACCCTTGGTCACCCTGCAGGTCTCAGGAGTTCAAGGTTTTGGCGTCTAGAGACAATATTGGAGAACACCGGCCAGGGCCGTGTCTCACAAGTTCCCTGAACGACGTAGTGCCAGCGCAGGTCTGAGCCCGACCTGCTTCCTCTAGTGATGGAACGCAAAACGAACTTGCAACTGAGAAATGACTTGCCCGCAACAATGGTGCTAGTCCCACCCCAACTTGCAACTTGGAGCCGCACTTTGCAAGTTTGTTGGGAGTGCTTCTTCGAGCCAAACGACGCAAGGACCCCTTCCATCACAGGCAGGCAAAAAAAAAGAATTCTGACAATGGCCTCCAAATCGCGCTAATGATTGCCAAGACAAAAGGTGTCTGCCGAGTAGAGGGATTCCACCCACCAGGTGCGGAAATATTGGATATCGGTTTTCGAGATCAGCGCTATAGCTCTAGTGGACTCCCTAAGACTGCCCAGTACATTACACGCGGAAGACGTGTTAACTGTTTTCCATCAGGTTCACATGCATGCTCATGAAAACATCACACTTCTGGTGACGCCAACCAATGTTTGAAAAGAGTGGACACGAAATGGTCCAGGAGCAGTTAGTAGTCGACCTCCACCAAGTAGCTGCGATCGAAGTCCTTCTGCCTGAAGTCCGACTCGCGCAAGCAGTCGCAGAACAGCTTCATGCGAGCTTTTCGCTCGGCGGGGAGATCCAAAAGGTAGCCGCCGTCGCAGGGCAGGGGGTTGTCCATGACGGTCGGGTACTGCGAGTTCACGTCGAACTTTGACACCCAGGAAGGCAGTCGTCGTAGTCGACCACAGAGCAGTTGTTGGCCTTGGCGTACGGCTGGAACGCATTGCTGAGACCACCGCGCATGCTGCTCTTGACCAGGTCGTAGATTTTGCGCTCTCTCTGTGGAGGGTGTTCCCAGCCTCCGTTCTGTGTCAGCTGCAGGCCTCGTTTCGAGACATAGGTCAGAATTCGGCACTTCGGAGCACTGTCGATTCTGCACCGTGCGGGCCAGAGCTCAAGCAATCTTTGGGGCTCAAAAGTGCTTGCAAAGAGCCTTAAAGCGGCCTTAAGGGGGCCCGAGCCAGCACTGCGCAGGAGTTCACAGTCGCTTCCCAGCAGCTCGCAGTGCTTCCGAGTGGCTCACAATCACTTCTTGGCCACTCGCAGGCCGTCAAAACAGCTTACTGGCAGCTCCCAGTCGCTATCTACCTTTGTGTCACGAAATGACACAAAATACCATCTCCGAATCGCTTCTTGGTGCTTGTAGGCCACTCCTATCGCTTCCGAGCCACTCGCAAGCCACTCTAGCGCTTCTGAGCTGCTCACAGGCCAGTCCCAGGCCTTCCCAATCGCTTCCTAGCCACTCCCAGTCCTTCCTAGCCTTGCATAGGCTGCCCGTGGCTTCGGCCAGTGTGCGCCCGGTTTGCAAGCACTTCGGAGCCCCAAAGATTGTGCCTCTCTCTGGGGAGGGTGTTCCAGTTCCATGTTCTGTGTCTCCTACAGGCCTCGTTTCGAGACCTTGGTTAGAATTCGGCACTTCGAAGGCCTGTCGATTCTGCAACGTGCTGGCAGGAGCTCAAGCAATCTCTGGGGCTCAAAAGTGCTTGCAAAGAGCCTCCAAATGGCTTCAAGGGGGCCCCAACCAGCAACTCCGCATCCCTGCGAAGCACAAACCAGCACTCGAAGGCTTCTGAAGCCTCCGAGTAACTCGCAGCACTTCCGAGTGGCTCCCAGCCACTCGCAGGCCCACAAAGGCTTCCGTCAGAAGGGCGGGATGAAAAACGAAACGGGGATGAACGAAACGGGGATGAAAACAAAACGGGGATACCGGGGGATGGCGCGGGGGTGAAAGCGAAACGGGGGATAAATCGAAGCGGGGATGAACACGAAACGGGGGATCAGAACGGCGGGATGAAAAGATGAGCGAAACGGGGATGAAAACGAAACGGGGACGAGCACGAAACAGGGATGGCTTGGGGATCGCAACGGCGGCGCGAAAACGAAACTGGGTTGAAACGAAACGGGAATGAAGATGAACACGCAGTTTCAGTCTATGCTCTTTCGACAGACGCGCCATGACACGAGGTTTTTCGAGTCAACCAATCAGCTACCCTGCGTCACCTTGTGATCTTTTGATACTCTTCTATAAAATGTGCATACGGAATGGATCTTGAAGTGAGGGTTTCCCTCCGACACTGTTTGCGTTCCGATTGTTTTGGGGTTCCTGGCTTGACCTTGTTTGGGAGACGGAGAAGGAGGTGAGTCAAAATCGATCATTTCTGCACGACTGACTTGTCGGACGTCCCAGGTAGGGGGTAGTGACCAGCATTCAAAGGTCATGATCGGATATGCAGTGCTGCAGGGCTAATTACAGGGCGACCGGATCCCCACTTTTGCCCCCCCCACGCTGCTTCCGAGCTAGGCTTCTGGCCGCCGGCTGGCCGTGAAAGATGGGCCCTATCACGCGCTGGAGTTCAAGGCCGTGGAAATCCGGTGCCTCGACCCGGGCTTCGGCTGCCACCCAAGTGCCCAGGGAGCAGCCAGATTCACCCTGACCTCCGAGGTCTCCTGACGATGGGCAGCCTTTCATTTTCTCGGTGGAGGTGTCCCTGCTCATCGCGAGTCTGGCGATGGTCGTGGTGTTTGGCCTGATCTTGTTGCTGACGCTTGGTGGCGTTTTGCAGGCAGGCCCAATTTGCTCCCATGCTCCATTCTGAGCACGGAAACCCGCTTCCTCAAAGGATTTACTGTACTGTCAAATTTTGGCCAGACTAGGAAGCACTGCATTGATGCGAAGCCCAGCAAGAACTTCTTGGGGATTGAGTTTTTTGACTGCGTGCTGGATATTGGGGGGTGGGCTACGGCGTACATCACGGGCGATCTGGACTTCACCAATGATGGTGGTTTTGCCGCTGGTCTGCATTGCTAGGATGCCAAAGTTGCATGAGAAGCGAGTGATTCCTCGTCTGAGGTGAAGAACATCCTGCTAGCATCGACAGTTCTGAGTGTTGTCGTGTTCCTCATTGAGTGTGTTCTCCACTACTGCTGTAAGTGCCAGCTGAGCAAGCAATGGCTCTGGCTGCTTGGCTACGAAGTTTTTGCATTTTGCTTCATGACGCTGTGTAGACAGGTTGCCTTTGCAGCATGAGCCTGTTCGGCGCCTGTTCGCCGCGCCTGGGCTAAGAGACCAAGCCTCAAGCCTTCCGTGTACCGTACCAATTTTCAAGTCACGAAAGACTCTGTGAGGACCCTGGAAGCAGCTCACTTTGCTGGGGAGGACATCTTTCAAGGGACCTACTACTTGTTGGCCACGCTGAGCGAGCTTCAGGGTGAGCACGTGGGCTGGTCAATTGTGGTGGCCCTGACTCAGTCCGGTGTCGGTATTCTCGCCAAACTCTCCTATGAGACATATCAGGCGCGCCAAGCTTGCCGGCCAAAACCCAAGGAGACTTCACAAGATCCAGCCTGTGAGACTCCAGAGCCTGATAATCGAAAGTGAGCTGGGAGTGCTTCGTTTCACTTACTGAATTCTCAGTCCTTCGGGAGGTTCTTTACCTACTGAACTTACTATTCTCATTATTCAGGTGGTCACAGCATGTATGTTATAGGTATCACCGCTGGGGTTGGCAAAGTTGCCTTTATGCCTCCAGCCACTGAGTCGCCGGGCAGAGCCGACGTTACGCAATCAACTCATGCCCCAACAAAAGAAACATCCTCCTGCCCGGTGCTTTTCTGAGGGTTTTATCCGTGAGCCCTCCAAGGGACCAGGTTTACCTCAACGATGAACAGTCAGACTGCGCTGGAAATCCCCTTCGCAACTTGGAGAAAAGAAGCGCTGCAACCTTGGGACCCTGCGTTTTTCAGTGCCTTTTCGCTGTTGAAGAGTTTATATTTGCAACGTCCACGTCCAAGAACAGCACTTCGGTCCCCAAAACGCAAAATCATAAAAGTTATACCGGCGAAGACCCCAGATAGCTGGGGAAGCGCCATAAAGAAAGGTTCAGGGTCACTAATCCATGGAGGGCCCCTGCTTTGGAATCACATGCGCAGGGTCTCCCAGAGCAAGATGCTAAAAATTTACCAGTTTTGGTTCGGACCAATTTCGGACCAATCCAATTTCGGACCAATCTCGGACCAACTTCGGAGTGTGGGAATACACGCGAGGTAATTCCTTCATCAAGCTCAAGGTCTGCCTGGATCGGGTGAATCTCTGGGATGCCCAGATGCAACCGCTGCACGAGCTGGGGGACCTGACCAACCGGCAGTGCAAAGTGCGAGCTGAGCTCAAGCAGGTCTGGATGATGAGTGGCCAGTGCGGCCTGCTCGTAGAAGTGACCGACCTCATGCTAAGGGAGGAGGAGGCTCAGAAGTGTCCTTTCTGAACCCGGGCGAGCCAATTTAGATTTATAAATCTAAATCGCCCTCCTGCCGAGTCCGAGCCCGGGCGAGCCAATTTAGATTTATAAATCTAAATCGCCCCCTCCTGCCGAGTGCGAGCCCGGGCGAGCCAATTTAGATTTATAAATCTAAATCGCCCTCCAGCCGAGTCCGAGCCCGGGCGAGCCAATTTAGATTTATAAATCTAAATCGCCCCCTCCTGCCGAGTGCGAGCCCGGGCGAGCCAATTTAGATTTATAAATCTAAATCGCCCTCCTGCCGAGTCCGAGCCCGGGCGAGCCAATTTAGATTTATAAATCTAAATCGCCCCCTCCTGCCGAGTGCGAGCCCGGGCGAGCCAATTTAGATTTATAAATCTAAATCGCCCCCCCTGGCTCCGGCAAGGCGACCCGCGTTCGCAGGGCGACTTTTTTTTTCTGAACCCCGAGAAATCATGTCGTGGATGCAACAACGCGAAGCGATACGACGTGCAGCCGACGCTGGGGCCAGACCACGGATCTCAGCGCAAGGCTCGCAGCTTCTGCCCCTGAGGGACAGCCGTCTT